TCCTTTATTCATAAGAGGCTAACTTCTTACAGAAACTTCTTAGGAAAAAATAAAAGAAGTTAACAGTATCCTTTAACGTTACTTTTCGCTATATAGATGATTTTCTCTCACTAAATAATTCAAAATTGGTAACTATGTTGAAGGCATCTATCCCGTCGAACTTGAGATAAAGGATACAACAGATACAGTTAAGTATGCCTCATATCTTGACTTACATCTAGAAATTGACAATGAGGGTCGGTTGAAAACAAAACTTAACGACAAAGAGATGATTTCGGCTTCCCAATTGCGAATTTTTCATTTCTATATGTAGAAACATTCCAGCAGCGCCTGCATACGGAGAATATATCTCCCAGTTGATACGATATTCTAGGGCCTGTATTTCCTATCATGATTTCCTTGATAGAGAGTTGCTGCTCACAAGGAAGCTATTAAACCAAGAGTTCCAAGCAGTGAAGTTGAAATCACCCCGTCGTAAATTTAACAGACGCCATCACAAGTTGGTTGGCCGTTATGGAATATCCGTTTCACAGATGATAGCGGATATGTTCCAAATGTCGTAACTACAATTCCGTTTCCTTTTCCCAGAATGTGACCTACCGAACTATACTTATTACACTATTATACTAACATGAGCAACATGACGGGTGCCACATGTGGAGCAGGATCTGCTTACTCTTTCGGAGCACCTGATACCACCCCAAGTTTTTGGTGGGGATCGTGTTGCTCAATCTTCAGTTTTTCTATGTTGTGTTTTGTGTATTATTGTTTGTCTGTTGGTATTTTTCTTTTTTAGCCATGGCGTTGTCAGTTTATTTTCGACTTATGAGTTTGAATGTCCCTTTGGTATCTTTCGCCTCTATCTTGCACAAATTAACGTCGTGTCTTTTTTCTGTATATGAACACAAATTGTAAAATTACTTCAATTGAATGATATCAATTGAATATCAGTATTGGTTGTGTAAAGTTCAGGGGCAAATATTTCCTGTATATGCTGGACGAGTACCGTAATAAGTGCAATAAGTAGGTTCTGCAAAGTAAGTCAACGGAAAATAGGGAATGTAAGATAAGGAGGCAGAAACTTTGCCTTGTAACATGCGAACTACAGTCCTCTCACCAATTTGTTGCAGCTTTCTTTAAAGTGCTGGAGAAGTCCAAGGGATTACCATATTTATATTCTCAAGTCAAACCTTGGATTAAAGAATTTAAATTCCATGTTCTATTTTTATATTCCAAGCTACTAGGGATGTACATTTTTTACCCGTCCGTCCGTCGATCAGTCTATCTGTTCATGTTTTTGTAAATCAGTCTTGGCTTCCGGATACCTGATTTGATACTTTATATCGAATCGCAGCCTTACTTAGATATATGATTACATAAAATGAGAGGAAGATCACTATAGGTTTAAAGGTCACTACGTTTGAGGTCAAGGTCAAACTATCTAAAATAGTACAAAATTAATGCAGTAAAAGATTTTGGGAATAGAACTCTAAATCCTTGTATGGGATTCGAACGAAACTTAAATATATGGTTTACATATAATAAGTGGAAGACCTCTATTCATCACTGTACCCGAGTTCAAGTTCAAAGTTACTAAAATTTTCTTAAAAAAATACAAAAACTGTTGTATTGCTACTACTTTGAGAATTTTATTTGGGATTGCAACGAAACATGCACACATCAATCTGACGAGTACTTCTTTATCTTTTTCCCTTTTCTACTGATTTTGACACTTAGTACTATTGTTGTTCTGTTACACAACTGTCCCAGTGAGGGGAGGTTTGAGCGCGCAAACTCCACAATCTTTATGTGCATATCCGACGCAAGATTCCTGTAATCTAGTGGTTTTTTAGTGTTTGCTGTTTGGCAAGATAGTTTTTTGTTTTCGCAATAAGCAGGCTGTTGTTTTTTCTTCTTTTCAGTCGTTTCAAACTTCGTATATTGATTATTGTATAGATGGCGATTGTTCTCTTTTGGAAAATTAAACCGCCCTTAGAGACCCTCCCATCCTGAGTTTGAAGCCTCATAATATGCTTGTAAATTATAATTTGCCTTATTAAAAAAACTACTTATCAAAACATTTAATATCAATATAAATCAGAAAGGACGTCAGCTATATATTCAAAATGTATGCGATCTCACAATTATGAAAAGCGCAACCTCATCCACAAATCTTTTCGAGGAGATAAAGCTAGTAGTTTTACCTGCAGTTCTATAAAAGGGTATAAGGCGTCTTTCCTCCATCGGTATTGGACATATCTGTACGATCGTTTTGAATATCAGATATAACATGACTCCACTAGAAAGAGCAAGTTAAACCCCGAAACATTTTCACGTTGCCTGTCCCAAGTTAGAGACATCTGTCATACCTGAATTTTTATTGTTATTTGAAGAAATTGATGTTAATGATAGATCCTAAAACTCTTCTCAGTGTCAAATGTTTTCAAAACTTTCATAGACTCGGGATGATTTAGAGCATGAGGTGTGTGTAGGCACCTGCCTATCTTTGAAGAACGTTAGTTACCGTTTAGATTGTTTTTTTTTCTCGTTGGGTTGATGTCTCATTGACGTACACCCTTCATCTTCTTTATTCGTATATCGACTATCAATTTTAATCTGAGAGAAATACTTATTATTCTTTTTGCCATTATGTTACATTACTGACATAACGACCAAATGAACACAGTTTCTATTAGCATTTAAATATAATGCAAATTTGAAAATGTGCATATATATCATTGGTATAGTCATAATTATAAATAAACTGTTTATTACATTTTGAATAAGTCGAAATACTAAGGGTTTTCGGAATCTTGATTGATTAGGTATTCGCTAAAATTTTATAAAGAAAGATCATTTATTAAAGTGCATTGAACTTGAGTGCAAATAATGGAGCAATCGAATTTACCTTAGGCGTTTGGTGTGGTTCGTGTAGCTACATCTACAGTTTTTGAAATCTTTCTGTTGGCCAGCGTATTATCTGTCTTTTCTGACATGTCTTTTTATTCTACCATTAGTGTCAGACATGTTATAAAACAATTTTAAAGTCCCTATTACATGGTGAAAAGTAACACGTGCATTTAAATAAACTCATCATAGATACCAGAATTAAACTTTTATACGCCAGACGCGCGTTTTGTCTAGAAAAGACTCACCAGTGACGCTTAAATAAAAAGTTAAAAAGGCAAAATAAAGTACGAAGTTGAAGAGCATTCAAGACCCAAAATTCCGAAAGGTTTTCAAAAATACGTATAAGGTAATCTATTCCTAGGGTAGATGATCCTTAGTATTTCGAACAAAGTCAAATTTTGCAGACTGTAAATTTATCCTGTGTCTGATATGTCAACACAGGTCTTGACTACTGGGTTGATGATACCATCGGAGAGGAAACATCGACCAGTAACGGCATAGACCCTGTGGTTATAAATAAACGCATCATTGGTAACAAAAGTGTGTTCGCCAGACGCGCGTTTGTCTACAAAAGACTCACCAATAAATCCCGAATAAAAAGTAAAAAAAAAACAAATAAAGTACGAAGTTGAAGAGCATTGCGGAGCAAAGATTCCGAAAGGTTTTCCCAAATACAGCTTTGGTAATCTATTCCTGGGTCAGATAATCCTAAGTCTTTCAAAAAATTCAAAGATTTTTAAACAGTTAATTTACAATAAATGACACTTCATCTAAAAAGATTAGATATAACAAAAAGAAACACAGATAACTTACTGACTACTACATGCAGATGACAATTTTGGCGGATTTTAAAAAAATTTTCAAGATAAAAACAAATACTTGGTAGTTTGATCAATACATGAAGGCGTTACAACTAGTTGTTTTAAGTCCATTGTGTTCACCATAAGTGGGTGTTGTCTTTCTTTCTTTCTGTCTGTTTTTGTTTTTGTTTCACTGACGTTACTCAACATGTCATGTTGGTCCAAATTAACTAATATAAATTTTCGCTGACAAATCATTCTTTGTCTAGATTTAAAAAAAAATGAAGATGCGAAGTCGGTAAAGGTAGTTTTAATTGATTGTCATTATTCAGAAATGATCACCAACATTTGAATAATGTACTGGATAAACAAACAAAACAAACGGTTATAAAAGTGCATTTTAAATTTGGTATTTGGATTATTTGTCTGCCCATGAAACAGTTAGAAATACAATTAAGATGCATGATAAACATTGAAGTAGTAAAGTGTTTGGTGACGGAATTTTTCTGAATGAATTGACTATAATCAATAAAAGCAAACCGAACTTTTCTAACTGTTGTACTATTATATGCTGCTGGTAGTATTTGAAATGCAAAACATTCCTTTATATGTATCTTTCGCACAACTAAATGACTAGTTCCTGTTTGTGTTAATATGTTAATGTGACATACGTGTCTTAGTTTGTTGTGGAAGACGAGGAGGTAAGATTTCTAATTTTCAAATGGATCAATAAACAATTCGTTTTGTTTAAAAGGTAAACATTAATTCAAACAATATGGGAGAGATGTTCCAAGAGTGTAAACGTAGAGGTGCATTAAGATTAATTATGGAATCCAAAACCGAAGTGGTAGTAAAAAAGATCGGAAAAATAATAAGTAGACATTCAAGACACATGTAAAGCTTAAAACGCCATGGCAAAAACTAAAGACAATAAAAAAAGTAAATTGATATTGCCAAAAATAAATAAAGTATTGTTTCTAATTTAACAATACACAAAAGACACAAGGTTTCAAAATGCAGGTTGTTAAATGACTTCAGTGTGACTTGAAATCAATCACTATTTTAAAACAAATATTTGACCCTACTTCTGATCAAGATTACTTAAGACGAATATATCAAGCCCCCATTGCGCAATTGTGTAACAAAACATTAATTGTTTTCCCATCTGATAGTACATCAATCCAGAAACACTGCAAAGCGCCATGCTGCAACATGTAACATACAATAGGACTTATTGTTCAAATAAGTAAAATTATACTTATAATTTTATTTGTCATTTATTTTTTCCATTTTGTTAAAAATTACCAAAAACATTATTCCCCTGTAATATTATTCTATCGATACTGTACGTGCTTTGATTAACCTTATGGTTTTTTGAGTGGTTCCCCTTTTATATCAGTCTGATATCATTTATGTAAACCCCATATCACTTTAGTTAGTTTTTATGCATTACAATACAAGTGAACACGCTGCTGTTTTTGTCTTAAATGTCGCCTTTATACGACCCAAAAGAATATTACACCCTACTGAATTAAAAAAACCTCACACGATCCCCCTTTCTATGTAAAAGATATAAGTCCCCTATTTGTTTCCAGTCCAGAAAATGTCGATTGTGTTTCACTTTCAAGACATTCAGGTAGGTTTATGGATAATCGCAATCCATATGTCAAACTCTACATACACTTAGTCAACAACAAAGAACTATTATTTTTCTTGAGTCGGTAACGTCCGTCTTGTATTTTGTTTGCAATACAATAGTCTCAGAAATCTGCCAGTTTTGAAATTCATTAACCGACTAATAACACTAGTCTCAGAATTCTGTCAGTTTTGAAATTCATTAACCGACCAATAAGAAGTTGGCATAATAAAGGTTTGTTACTTTGTCCCAAAATCGTTCATTGTGTTGTTGAAACTTCGTTAAATAACGCAAATTTTATTCAATAAAAACATTTCAATAACAATGTCGGGTTTCGGAATGTACAGTTTTGAAGTTTACTGAGAGTATTGCCTCCTATGATTACATAAAAGATCTTTATATAGTCATATCTCAGGTCTTCAACGTCATCATGTATTATCAATATTACATATATTTACTTTATCTTATCTAATTTGTAATAAACTGCTTGTATTTTGTTCTATTAATTATTCTGAATGCATTTATTGTAACAGTTGTGGGTTGTCCATATACTTAATACAGAATGCTTAACAAATTCCACCAAAAGATAATGAAGGGAAAAGCAATACATTCGCCCTTATATATCATTATAAGAAATAACCTAGTTGTAAAAGGCTTTTTGTTTTTAAGTACCCGAGTTATGACTATACATTACATACAGGAAGAATAAATATAAGTGATAAACAAATTGTCGATAAATAAAGTGAAAATGCAATATAAAATATATGAAATATTATGTTATTATCATTGTGATAAAAAAGCTAATTTTAAGGCGTTTAACAATAGGTATTTCTTTCACTCATAAAACAGATATTACATTATTAAACAAGATAGAAAACATTATGGTGGCAATCAAAAACTATAACTCCAAGACAAAAAGACAACACCTTGACCAAAAACGTAAAACGACTAACGGCAAACATCAATCAACAAAACATTACACAGAAAACTGAAGTACAGGAACCAAAACATAAGCCGCGGGTGATCCCAGATGCTCGGGAACGGTAAACAGTTCCTGATCTACTAACGGCATCAGTGGTGTTTTTATGGTATGTAAAAATGCATTGGTAAGTCGCATCCAGAACGATACGATCGAGGAAATAAGGAATGCATTGTGATCACAACAAGAAAAAAAAACATATCCGTTATGATATTTAGGCAAAGGGCTTCTACATCAAACCCTTGGATACATTCATACAAGGATTTATGGTATATCGTTAAAATAGAATAGTTTTCAGAATCACACTGAAGAACGATAATTTCGCTTTTATCGTTAATCGTACCGGAACAAACTTATTTATCAAAAATCTCATATATTCAATTTACAGTACCATTTTTTCATACAATCTATCTTGATTACTAGCAACAGTGCTTGAAATGAAACAAAATATAATAAACATATGTATAGAAACAAGGAAATTATTCAAAGAAAATCATTAAGCTGTATATTGGACGATTATGTCTTATCCCGTCTAAAGCAGCAGGAACATAACTGATCGCGTGAACCTAAAAATAAACGAAGACAAAAGGAATACATCTAGTAATACACGTAGAAATGTCGAAAAAAATGCAACCAGAATGAAATTTAATGAGACCTTCTAAGTACATCTGTGTATAAAATCAAATTCTAAGACATTCATTTAGTCTCTACAGTTGTATTATAATATGTCTAAAGGCGTTTTGGACACCTCCTCCCCGTAAGAGTTGAAAAGGACAAGACACTGCGAATGTTATAACGGGAAAATCATTAATGCCAGGAATATGTGAGATAAATATAATGCACATGTTTTGTGTAGCCAGTATAGATTTTTTGAGAAATATAACTAAAATCAAAGCGAACTCTAAATATAATTATTAAAAAAAATGATACATGACTGCAATGACTCTTAAATATGACGAAAACGCTTTCAAAGCCCGACTCTAAATGTTCAAATCTCACCATGAATGTAATATTTAGACACAAAAGACAAGAATTTCACTAATAATATACAATAAATAGCACAATAGAAGATAATTTAAACACGTTTTTTTTCGTCATGTATAAAAAAAAAATAAGGTGCAAATAACTATTGCGTCTATAATCGAGACCAGATTTCAATTATATTGGCAAATTTGTTAAAACCCAATTTAACGAACTATAACATCAAACATTTACTATACCACCAATGCATGTAAAAGAGTTTTTATAGGAAGTTTTAAAATAAGATGTAAACAAATCATTTGGAACACTGATAATATTGGACAGAAAATTCACAGATTAAGTGCCTCTTATTGATCCTCTTGTAACATATATACTCAACAAAATTATTGATACTGGTGTATATCCTTCTTCACTGAGACGACGAAGGTAACAAACACTTGGTAAGTCCAAATATACTCGTAGCTCTTTTAGATTGTATTACTTTAATATACTAGTACATGATATGATTTTTATAAATTGATAACATGTACTTATTGAATTATCTTATTTTTTAAGGCGAAGACGAAGCCGAATGTTTAAAATTAACAACATTTGACCAATGACGAAGAGCTTTAACAAGTTTAATGTTTCCGTGCTCGAGAATATTACGTTTGTCCAAAATAAAATGGTCTGTAATATGATATTCAAAAACAAATAAATCTATTTTGATCTGCATGCATGTTAGTAGTTGCTTACCCTGTCGACGCTACAGATCGATTTACGAGATTATAACATCGGAAAACTAGTGCAGCCTTAATTGATTTTAGTCACATTCCTTTCACAAAGTCTAAGTAAAGGATATTTCATGTGAGTGTAATTGAAAGTCACAAAACAGAGAGATAATCAGAAAAGAAACTTTTTCTTATCTTTACAGGGCATTAATACCGACACATCATTTATCTCAAAATATAACATTCAAGAATTCAAATTTAGCACGTACATCCAACATTCTAACGAAACAGTCTATACAATTACAAAATGTGATAACACTTAACAATAGTAAAAACACAACCAGAGTTAAAACAATGACAAAATATGAAAAAAATAGTTCAATAACATGTTAAAATACTGATAAGAGCTGCTCAAAAACAACCACACAGTATATCTTGTATTTGCTGTAACACCTTCATCATAAGCGTATGTATAATACACAGTTTCTCTCTGAGGTACGAATCTGTGGCAATTCATTGTAACAGGTGAATGCTAGTACTGTATTCATATACAACATTTGCCTATTCCTTTTTACAGCCACATTTCACGGTTTGTCTTTAATTAGTAACGGCCTTCATTTTGGTCGATATCTGTAACTAATAAGTTTGTAAACATCATACGTCATCTTCCACTGAGTTTTCGTTTACGGATTTAGATTTCAATAAGGAATTCAATAAGAAAATTACTTGATCGATCTTTGTGTCCATCTTCTGCATCTGTAATGGTTTAAAAATTTATTATAATGTCATATTGGACCCTTTGTGGATGTAAACTGCTTATTATGTCGGTATACCTGCTTTATTTTTTCTGCTTTACCTGTACCAAGTCAGGAATATGGCAGTTGTTATCAAATAGTCCGTTTCTATGTATGTTGGCGTTTGTTTTTGTTGCACTTCAGTGTTCTTGTTGTTCTTTTGTTTTCCTCTTATAGTTGATTTGTTTCCCTCGGTTTTAGTTTGTAACCCGGATTTGTTTTCTCTCAAACGATTTATGACTTTTGAACACCGGTATACTACTGTAGCATTTATTTAATTGGTGTTAATGTTGTTCAATTTGGAATTTTTCGAGAAAAAAAATTGTTATATATTTCATGCTTCGTCCTTTTTTCTTTCTTAAGGAAGTGATTGTCTACCTATATTCGGCTTCTTATGTTAAGTACCCCTTTATATCATCTAATTTTTGCCACAAGAAAGATTCTACGTAAATGATAGCTTTTTTGATTTTATATTCATTAAAGGGAAATAATAAATACGAATCAGATACGTTAAGTATAAAGGTACATACAACAATCTTCTCATTAAACCAGCGTGAAACCAGTGCAAAAAAAAACAAAAAAAACCAAAAAAACAAAAAAACAAAAAAACAAAAAAAAAACAGAGTAGTGGGAAACTGTTCATTTCTTTGAAAGAACACACGCTACATGTAACACATTAACTATTTTGATTATGATGATGATGATAGATTGGTGTTTTACGTCAGGTGGAAATTATAACGTAACATATTTCATTACGAGAACATGTTAATGTAATATGGATATTAATCCTGATTTGTTCTAGACCGACCTGCTTAGCCGAAGTTTTAAAGAGCTATTTCACAAGGTAATTGTCCATAGGTAACGACATGCTAACCATATCCCGATACATTATTCAAACTCCGAACCTAGCAGTCTTTGGTCTTACTCCCGAATGCCGTGTGCCTAGCGTAGACGTAGCAAATAGCATGTATCAAGTCTTTGGTTTGACCCGTCCAGAGATAGACTTGACAACTTCTGCACTGGAGGCGAGCACACCAAGGTGATTCTTACCTTTTAAAACATTTTTATATCACTGTCCATTATTAACGCTTGACGGCGCACACTAGCTTACAGTTATTTTAAGTTATGAACTTTGTTTTTATCTCTCTACCGTTGATGATGTGCCGGATTCTTTATTCAAATCGTAATTCTAAATTTTTCCAATTTGATACCCTACTGATAACTTTAGAGTACTAGTAATAAATGTTTCTAAAAACTGTTTCAACAAAACAAAAAACCCAAAATATAACATCAGATTTAGATGGCAGTAGTCGACAACAATCAAATACCTACCTGATTTTCCATTCTAACAATTCTTGCACTGAGAGTAACCCTTTCTCTATCTTTTCCATTGGAATAAAGAACCCCTGGCTTACCTAACGTCTGATCTAATCTGAAAGAGGGCGGATTTATTCATTATAAGAATAAAAAAAAAAGGATTAACAGTTAGAGTTGAAAATGTCATACATTTGTTCAGTAAGTTTCTGCTTGTTGCATAGGCCACTTTTGCTCAAGTTCTATTTCCAGTACACTGGCTGAATCCAAATCTTTTTGTCTTGAGTACATCAATTAATGTATTTGTATCAAGCAAAGTCTAGATCGTTATTTGGGAAATTGTGTAAATTTTTGAAATCGGCTTGGCAGATTAGATCACATTTGATTAGTTGATTGTTTATCTATTGTAATATATTTGAATATTGTTCCCTACTATTTAATAAGTGTCACAATGTAAATATGTTCGTGTTGCTATAGCATGTACCCACGGCTTTACAATAAAGAATTTATGTATTCATTCATACATCACACACATACAGAGTTTTGTAATCTACGACGTCATCAAATTTGCCGTTTCAGAATCTACAGTGTGATGTGTAATTTCATTGCCTGTACATCAAGATGATAATAACGTTACGTCATTGGTCGTTTATTACTAATTCAATTGTTTTGGTTTATTTTTTCTATTCACAACGTTTTGGTGTACGTTTTTAAAAATATTTCCCAGAATGCTTTAGTTGCCAAAACAGTGAATTGATCTTCCAAAGCTTAATGACAAGAATGTAGTGGTAAAGTATGGAAATCTAAAACTCCCTTTTGGTAAGAACTATATGATTAAAGACTTTTCAGAAATCAGCTATTTCAGATACATGTATTTACAGTTAGTTAGTTGCATAAAATTGTATAATACAATACCTTCGTTGAAGTTCTTTGATTCTAACCATCATGTTAAGATGTCCTTGAGAATACTGTTCTATGACGTCTCTGACGTCATATGGTTTTCGTGCTTGCTGTTAAACAAAATGTTTTATGATTTATGTGTTTAAACTTTGTTTGATATTGGATTCGTATTGCGAATCTTTCGTGAACTGATAAATGTTTTATTGCATGATCTTTTGACATCTGTCTTTTTTTTTTGCCATGGAAATGTCTGTACTTTTTCGACTTAAAAGTAGAATCCAATTATGGTTGTTTTGATATAACGTACCGAGAAAAATATGTAAGTCCCAAAAAAGTAAATAGCTGTTTCTGTATAAAACATATCGAAAATTATCTGAACAACCAAAAAGGATATAGAATAGGAATGAATACTTTCCATGTAAATATTGTAGACTACGGTACATCGATTATGACGTAAAGCGCAACATGTATCAAAAAGGGTTTATCCTGTCATCATCAGGGCAAATATTAATTATATTTTTCTTGAATGATATAATAATAATAACGGTATCAAATTTGCTGCCAGATACACATTTCGAAAATTTATATTATCGTCAGTGATGTTTGAGGCCAAAATATTGGCAATCCAAAACATGATACCTACGCTGAAGAGCTGAAAAACATAAAATGATTAAAAGTAAAGCCAAACTCGGACAAGGTTAGAGTTATGCAAGATATTTATACCACCCTTAATTCTAAAATGTTTTTAAAACCGTAAGTTTCCATAAAACAATACCCGTATTGTCAATTAGGTACTCGCTATTAAGCTGGTGTTACATGTTCCAATGAGGACTGACAGTCCTTAGGGAAAGGTATCTACTAAGTGGTTGTTATAACACTAATGGTACCAATTTAAATGCATCAGATGCGGATTTCAACAGTTAAAGTCTCTTCTGTGATAATCAAGGAACAGGCTTTTGAATTCTAAAAATTAAAACTGGAAGTTAAATGTTAGACATACTCAGAATTATAGTACTGGAATCCTTTGGAACCAGATTTTTGGAAAATAACACTGGTTTAACAAAGAAGATTAACTTACTTTACCTTAAGTTTGAAATACATTGCGAGATGCGTTGTATTATTTGTATATGGTATTAAGGAAAAAAAAACAAACATTTAGTCATAAACTACCTGAAATTTTCTCCTTGCTACAAAATATTTGATTTTCCTGATTACTCGTATAGCTGCTTTATGTGCCTCAGTTAACCTAAAATGATCATAAAGATTAAAATTGCAAATTTATGACAATTCTTCTAACCAACAAAATAAACCATATACAATAAGTACAAATTTAAATAAATCTTAAAATACATTATAGATTGCATGTCCAATCATAGTAAAAAGTACCGTATGAAAATAAAAGTCTAATATATTTTCATATTTTAGAAAATTCAAATAATTTTAGAGATTGTGATAAACGAGAAAACGGTATGTTTCCTAAACCATGAGGTGTAATAAAAGGGTCAAAATAAGAAATAAAATGAAAACGTTTATCAACCCAATTCATATAAGCAAATAAAAGTAAAAGCTAATATCATGCAATTGTTTAACAACAGCTTACATCTAACAAATTTGATGATAAAATTGAGAATGGAAATGGGGAATGTGTCAAAGAGACAACAACCCGACCATAGAACAGACAACAGCAGAAGGTCACCAACAGGTCTTCAATGCAGCGAGAAATTCCCGCACCCGGAGGCGTCCTTCAGCTGGCCCCTAAACAAATATATATACTAGTTCAGTGATAATGAACGCCATACTAAACTCCAAATTGTACACAAGAAACTAAAATTAAAAATAAACAAGACTAACAAAGGCTAGAGGCTCCTGACTTGGGACAGGCGCAAAAATGCGGCGGGGTTAAACATGTTTATGAGATCTCAACCCTCCCCCTATACCTCTAGCCAATGTAGAAAAGTAAACGCATAACAATACGCACATTAAAATTCAGTTCAAGAGAAGTCCGGGTCTGATGTCAGAAGATGTAACCAAAGAAAATAAACAAAATGACAATAATACATAAATAACAACAGACTACTAGCAGTTAACTGACATGCCAGCTCCAGACTTCAATTAAACTGATTGAAAGATTATGTCTTCATCATATGAATATCAGGCACAATCCTTCCCGTTAGGGGTTTAGTATCATACCATCATAACATATATGAGAAGAACATAACCCGTGTCATGCCAACAACTGGTTTTTAAATAAATGTGTTTAGTGCCGATGCAAAGACCCTATAAGTGAATCAATATTAACGCCAAAATATGCAATCTTTAATGACCTGACAACAGTATCGTAACTATATCCCTTCTTAATAAGTCTATTTAAAGGTTTTGTTAGCTTCAGAGGAAAATACTGACATTTTTGTGCATTATAAAGAATATTTCCATAAAAAATTGGATGTGAAATACCTGAACGTATAAGAAGTCTGCATGTTGAGCTATATTTACGAATGATGTCCTTATACCGATGATAAAATTTAGTAAATGTTTTGACTAGTTTGTGATATCGAAAACCCTGGTGTAATAATTTTTCAGTAATACATAAATTTCTCTCGTTAAAATCTAAAACATTGTTACATACACGAGCGAATCGTACAAGTTGAGATATATAAACACCGTAAGATGGTGACAAGGGAACGTCACCATCTAAAAATGGATAATTAACGATAGGAAATGAAAAATCATCTCTTTTATCATATATTTTAGTATTAAGCTTTCCGTTAATGATATAGATATCAAGATCGAGGAAAGGGCAGTGGTCATTGTTAGTATTAGCTTTATTTAAAGTAAGTTCAACAGGATAAATTTCTTTTGTATACATACTGAAGTCGTCATTATTGAGAGCCAAAATATCATCCAAATATCTAAAAGTATTATTAAATGTGTGTATCAGATGTTGTTTCGATGGGTCTTTGCTGATTTTTGTGATAAATTGTAACTCATAGCAATACAAAAAAAAGAGTATGCTTTAGAAAAAAGCAATATGACATCCAAAGAAAACTCAAAACGGAAAGTCCCCTACCAAACGGCAAAACCAAAAGCCCAAACACACCAAACGAATGGAAAACAACTGCCACACTCTCGACTTGGTACAGGCACCTCCTTATGTAGAAAATGGCGGACCAAACCCGGTTTCATAGCTATCCAAACCTCTCTCTTGTATGCAAAGGGCTTTAAAGATTCTGAGTGGACCGCGGATATTTCTGGTCTCTTTTAGATTTATTGCTTTTATTGAAGAAAACAAGCCAATCTCTATGTGTCTTTTTTGTAACATGTTTATACCTCTGTTATATTATACCAATGACGCACATTTCACGACACATTTTATACATAGCTATAGCCGAATTTGATAGATTTCTTAGAAATGCTTTTTTGAAAATTTTAAACTTTAATGGTATCACTATAATACAATATTTGATCATATATAGTATCATGGTAAGAAATAGTTTTGAAGTCTGTGCTCCTACTTAATGTTTTGAATAGATGAAAACTCTAATCAAAGATACTAAAATGTTTATTTCATGCTTTCTGTATTTGATGCTTTTTATTCATTTTACATTAACATACTATCGGCGTTGACAATATGGCGTTGTTTATATGTTTGTTTGTTTTGCATATGGTGACGCCAGTGACATCTTAATTGGTCAATATTTTATATTAGTCTAGTTTCATATGCAAATGCTAATTATAGTATGAACGTTTCCTGCTATGACGTGCATATCTTTTATCATTAAGTGCCAATCTGCATAAGAAAACATAACCAATAAAAACCCACTCAAGTGTACATTAATTTAAGCTCAAAATGTATAATGGTGCACAAATATAACGTTCGTTCCCTTTTCCAGTTCTGGTAATTCAAGATATAATTTGGTTGAAATGCACTAGAAATTACCAAATTGAGGGGAGCTAACTCCGTAATTTTGCTATTATTTTAACCAAAAGTTATCTAGAGATTTCTCAAATTACCAGGCACGCAGAAACAAAAGACCTACCATTTCTAACTCAGGATGAGGTTACCTTCAAAATAGGATGGTAAGTTCGGTGGGTTTTTTCGGTCATGTTTTGAAATTCTTCTAAATTGCCTGATTCTTACAAAGACTGGCACTTAAAGACACTACATGAAACAATGGCTGAAGAATATTGTTGTTGCAGTTTCGCAATTTTTTTTTATCGTGAAAGTATGGAGTCTGGTCGGTTGGTGTCAAAAGGAAAACGAGCTCCAATTGAATAAATTCTTTTATTTAAATATAAAATCAACTTTGTTATTTTAAAGTAGTAAAATTAGATGAAATTTAATGTAAGTAATTGCATTCCTTACTTTGCACTGATTACATGTAAACCATAAGAGATCTATACCATGGCAATTTATTTCAAATTTGTAGATTATCTTGGTTTTCATAACTACTAAAAAAATTACGATAAACAAATTTGATTGCTAATTGATAAAATAAACCTTTAGCAAAACGTGTAAATACTTTACGTAAAATCCTTACTTATTTTATGTTATGACATATCTAGGGTACCAATTTTCCTGCACCTGATGCGCAATTCGACAATTAATGTCTATTCATTGATGACCGAGGCCACAATGTTTAAAATCCTAAGCCTTATTGATAATTGAAGAACTAATAAACCAAAAAGGACAAAAAGTATAGGCAAAGTCCGGCAAGAATTAAGAGCTTTGCATGTGGGAGATTAACATCCTTTAATCAAAATAATTTCCCAAATTTTGTAACAAATGAGTAAATTAATTAAATAAAAGAACAATGTGTCTGAAGTTACGAATGCCCCCGCTCGAGCTTGCTTATAATATGTGAAATACTTTTGGGACGGACGAAAAGACGGACAACCGGACGTTCAAGGGTAAAAGATGGAAAAGCTTCAAATGCTAAAATACTCTGATTTCAAAAGAATGTACCACTCTTATCTTCGTTTTTTATCACAGGGGATACGGGCGCAAATAAGCCTTTGTTCGTCTTGTGTGCTTTTTAAATTTTGGTTCATTTATGCATTTTGGAGTTTAGAGTGGCGTCCATATCGCTGAACTAGTGTACATCATTGTTTAGGGCCAGCCGAAGCCCGCCTCCGGGTGCCGGATTTTCTCGCTGCGTTGAAGACCTATTTGTGGCCTTGGGCTGTTTTCATTCTCAATTCTATGTCAAGGTAACCGATCACAAAAGAATGACACGGATAATTCACCACAGTACCGGTATGATATATAACAATATGATAGCATCTATGATATAGAAATCATATTTTTCTTCCTTATACTTGAAAAATAAAAAGGTCCTTCGTGTTCGTTTAGTTGTTATATCAATTGTAATAATTAACCAATTCTGAAAAAAGTGTTGCATAAATTTAACATTACTATTTTTGACACCGTGTAATGCACACAGATTTCAATGAGCAATGATTTTTTGATTGATTGATTGATTGGTATTTAACGATACTTTCGGCATTATTGGCAATTAGAGGCAGTTAGTTTTTATTGTTGAGGGATGCCGGAGTACCCGAAGAGAACCACCCATAGACCTCGGTAGGAAAACTTACCATATTAGTCAATTAAGATTGGAGTCGAACCCACCTGCCACGTGCGGGGTTCGAATTCACAATTTTCGTTTTGACAGGCTAGTGATAGTTGGACTTCTGAGACCGCTCGACCGCCAAGGCCCCAAATGAATATGTGGGTTGCAGCATTATTAAATATTACAACTGGACATTAGACTATATAAATGTATTATTCTTATATTATATAATGCAAATACAACTAAAGCATACACAATACTAATTCATTTTGTTAGAGAAACTCAATATCAAAACATAATTTCAACAAAAGCACAGCATAACGAAAGTTAACATAAATAAAAAAATCGGACACCAGGTGCTCAACAGCGGAATCATAAATTTCAAAAGATATACAAAGCTCTTTAGTTGTTAGTTTGCAAAAACGATTTTGTTAATGCTATATATATATCTCGCCTGATACCAGTCGTTATGTCATGCACTTACGTAGTTGGTCTCTTTGACATTTTGCGTTTCCTGAAAAGTATATTTTTCGAATTTATATGTTAAATTCTTATTTGTTTCTATCACAAAAGAATATCAAAATCTTGATTTTCATGCCTGCTAGATTCTGAGGTTCGTATTGAGTTTTGGCAGATTCCATTAAAGGTAGTTGCATACTTATACATCTATCATTGCTTATAAAACATACATTTCGTAATATCTTTATTACATTTTTGTAGTTTTATTGACAAGAAAATGTTTACAACCAATATACTAGCTTTAAAAAAACAAATAAAAATATATGCATAGAACATACAAAGCGAAATATATTGGAAACATAAAAAGAAATTAATAACACAAATATATATACTACTAAAATACAACATAAAACAGTTTATATGAAAACAAATATATTTGAAACCCTCTTTTAGGGACAATTAAATGCCTTTATGTATATTAATGTGTCTGTTTCTAAAAATGTTGTATTTGTCATTCAGACAGTGAGTACTACAAGCGATACATTTGTATTACCCCACGATGCAATTAGGTTTGATTGAATATTCTGCATTTATCATAACCTTTACTACAAAATCAGATCAAATTGCCGAGAGCCACTCTCCTAAATTATTGAAGGCTATAACTTTGCGTTAACCATTATATCACGATATAAATCTGATACACCCAACCGAGCTAACGCCCTAATGGATGTATATCAAATACATAATACGATATATTAAATAAAATGTGGTACATGTATCAATAAATAATCACTTTATTTTATTGAACTGATGGTTATAACATCCAAACGAATTCACAGTTTTCTTTTAATACTGGAAAGTGCATTTGAACAATTTCATATTCATTTTTATGGAACGTACACAAAAAAAGAGCATGAAAACTCTCACAGGCGGCCTAATCTAATTCAAAATCTGTATCGGGAAACAGTACAAGAACAGTGACGTTCTGATACTTACTATACAACTAAATGATCGGAATCATTAAAATCAAAACTTATATCATCGTACTGTTAACGTATAACCATGAAAATATTATATTACAGTATAACTTCCATGGTATAACCAAAGACTGAAACTTACTGAACCACTCGATCAGCGGCTTCATCCATATCGTAGTCTGTATCGTCGTATTGTTCACTGATACTTCCACCATAGGGTGACGGTCTCATACTCTCTCGTCTCGTACCTTTTGGTGTACCTTTTAGTGCAGTAATTGACAGTAGAAATTACACATATAAACGTAAGGTAACAATATGCATACACACTGTTTTCCCCTAAAGAATCACAATTGGAAATCACACCACATCTCTTTATTTTATATATATATATATATATTACATAGGAAGGCATTAATTATATGATTATACGATATGGATAGATTTTTATTTGTTTATGTTTCATGTCTGTATGGTCTTCAAATAAGACCCCGTCGAGTGCGGTAGGTCGTATGTTGGATCCTCGTATGGTCAAATCAATGACTTTATAACTAGGTATTTGCTGATTCTCCACTAAGCACGCAACATTAAGAAGTAAGATCAAAGATTTGTCAGAAAAATTTGTCCAAGTATGGTGACATGTCTTCTGGCGGACTTGTTTCCTTGTGAACTAGCACGTAAAAAACTCGGATCAGGATGTTGGTTTAATACAATACAGGGTTCATATTTATAACACATTAAACATGTTCTCGTCCTGAATATGCATTAAATCTGCCATTTAAATTTGAATGGATATTTATTAAAGTCTTGAGTGTGAAATGTGTTTTGAATCTTACTCGAAATTCAAAGTTCTGCATGCAGCTGTTGTCTAGCTGTATGTTTTTAATGGACACGATTAATAAAATGTCGGTCCAAAAAGTCCTGCATCTGGTAGGGATATTTATAGTTTATCGCAAGCATGTCTGCAATAACTGATCTCAGATTTGTTACTTTTGTATACCTTTTGTTTCCACATTGTAGAAATGTATGTTTTTTTTTTATCTTGTTTTATTTTGAATATAATCAACAGTTCTAATTCATCATATGATTATTATTATTACCTATCCTTTCCTCATATGGGGACGTAGAAACACTCTCTCTATGATAATGGTTGGGAACGGACATGGAATCTAATCTTGACATACGACGTTTTCGTAACGTCAGGCTAGCTCGTCTGGCCATTCTTGCTAACATGTTGTGCTCATTTGATGCGTCGTGTATATGTATGTTCCATGTTGCATCTGATTTGAAAGAGGGATCCGCAGCATAGCACCTCCATACACACTAAAAAACAAGTTCATATTTTTATATTATACAAGTATTCGTTTTAAATGTAAAATTTTACTCCATACATGTAATAGGCCTTCTGCTGAATTATGAGTAATTTTCCAACGTTCATTTAATTATAGTAACTAGAAGAACACAAAGTGATTAAAAGTTTTGGTTATTAAGTTTTCTGTGATAACTGTTTGAACATTTATGTTTGTTGTCGGCAATAAACTTTGGAGCTAGAGTTAATATTTGTGAATTCACAATTATGATTTATCTATTATGATTTGATTTGGTGTTCCAATTGTTTTGATTCGAGCGGCACTGATGAGTTTTTTGTAGACCTAAACGCGCGTCGGGCGTTAACGATTAAAGGTCTGGGAGCTTATTCACAAAGTATCCGTTAACTCTTTGATGAGTTTATGTCACATACTATTATGTAAATTAGAAAATTTCCCCGGAATGATTTAAACAATTGTAAATAGAAAAGAATTATTCCGCTTTGAATATGTTTTTAACACACTTGTTCGTAAATCCAACTCTCCCATCGGCAATGTTTGGCTTCAAGGAAATAAACATGAACAGAGATGTGCTAGAATTGAAATGTTTTATGCTCATCACTTCTTAATTATACTTATTATTTCAAAGCAAGACATGTTTATTAACGAAGATGGTTATTATTTTCAAACGGTTTCAACAAGTTTCTTGCAAGGGTATATATGCATAGTACAAAACCATTTGCTTCATACATTTTGTACTTTAGACAAAAGAGGAGAGAAAAAAGGACTAAGTAGAAAATGTTCCTAATATGATTGTGTTTGTGTATTGTGTATGATTGCCAAAGAGACAACTATTCACAAAAGACGAAAGGATAAAGGTGATATCAACTACAGGTCATTGAACGGCCTTAAATAATTAGCAAACCTAATACCATATTACAATCTTCTGTCTGTTTTTAAAATTTGTTGATACAACTTTTATGTACGCCAATTTCGTACACCAAAAGTCTAGGATAAGATTCTATGATTCATTGTTAAAATGCTGGGAGTAACTCATGCTTCTTCGACAAAATGGATTGACTTATCTTTGATTCATGAATTTATCATTTTCTTTTTCAGTACAATTATGATAAAGGTACATTACAATCGTTGAAAATCCTGATATGAAAGTCAATTTGGATACAAAACAGAAAAATATGCATTTTAATTGTATAAATTAACGATTCAAAATACGTTTGTTTTTTCTAAAAACCACCAGTTACTTTTTAATACACGAAAGTGTTTTAATACACGAAAAAAAGAACCAGTAAGTGAACAATACGAAAAGCAAAATTATTCGTTTAACGACTCTTGATTGAAAGAGAAATATAAATGTTTCTTTTCCGACTGGGTATGTTGTACGATTAATGTGTACAGACTGAATTGAATCGGACAACATGTTTATTTCATTCTTCATTCACATTTACGTGAAATTCTTATTTTCGCGTTCTACGGATGTAAGGGCAAGATCAACAAACATCTGTACCACGACCACATGATACGCCCGATACCGACCATTAATGTTCCTAATTAATCAATCTTATAATATATATATTTGATATATTCATAATAAGCCGAAAGGAGGTAGTTTTTTACTTCTTGCAAAATGGTTATGAACTTTGTTAAGTTAGATAAATAAGAAATGGATTTTGTAGTACACATACCAGATTTGAAAAAAAACATCTAATACCGTTGAAGGATAATTAATGGCAATAATCATTATTGGCACGGATCCTCTCTATTATAAAGAAAAGATCGTGTGAAAGATCCAGTAAGTCAAATTTTTAGTTATTAAATATTCTGCATTTTCGATTTTTTATGATGAAAGCATCCAGTTTTATTTAACGACGTATGATTATGACAATCTCAGAATGGAAAAATGTTTTTTTTCAAAAAATGTTTTTTTTTTAAATTAAACATTATGTAAACGTTTTTAAAAGTCCAATAAACCAAAAATGAGTGTGTCAGGATAAATGTTTTAAATTGTCGAATTTAATAACAATAAACGCCCTCTTACGGTAAACAGAAAACCGTTGAATTGTCAAAATAAAAGTAATATATCGTCATAAAAGTCACATATTGTGTTTGATCAATTCCCAGTTGCTACTTTCATGTCATATTCAGTATAGACACAATCTTGAACAGATTGTAATGGTAAACTTATTTCTTGCAATCATAGTGAATGAAATAATGCTTTATAAGTTTTGTGCGTCCGAGGCGCTTTCTGGATTGACCTTCACTGGGAACGCTTAAACTTAATATTTGAAAGCCAGGGATCCGTACATATGCTACAACGTTAGGACCTGTATATTAAAAAAAACCTAATGATGTATTTTGATGTATTTTGTACATCAAACATTCATGTATTTAATTTTGATGTTTCTGTTATGGTTTCGGTTGGATAGTCTGTTATGTCTTATCGTTTGTAGTCCAAATAAAATTCCCTTTCCATAACATCATTGTCATGAAAACTGTTTGGACGAGTATTGTGAAAATAATTATATAAAGTTCGAGATTGCATGTTAGTTACGTAAGCGCGTCACTGTTTGTGATTTCCTGTTGTGTCTGTCGTTAATGGAATATGTTCGTTGTTGTTCTGCGATTTGCATGTTGTGTCGACTCTTATATTATGTGTTTGTGCTATATTTCTGTCACGTAGTGTTGTCAGTTTAGCGATATTTCTAGCATTGTCATAAAGCGGGAGGTTTGGCTAGCCATTAAACCAGGTTCAACCCACAATTTTTTCTTAAAATGTCCTGTACCAAGTCATGAATATGGCAGTTGTTATCAAATAGTTCATTTCTATGCATGTTGGCGTTTGCTTTTGTTGCACTTCAATGTTCCTGTTTTTCCTTTGTTTTCCTCTTATAGTTGATGTTTTTCCCTCAGTTTTAGTTTGTAACCCGGATTTGTTTTTTCTCAATCGATTTATGACTTTTGAATACCGGTATACTACTGTTGCCTTTATTTACTAAACAGAATATCTTAATTCATCTAAGGTCAAATTTGCCTTTGCTTGAACCTTAAATAGTTTCTTAATAATTACATGATTTATGAACGGGCAATTTTAAACAGGTATATGTTATATCATACCGATATAACATGTTACTTTTATTATTCTTCCCATAGTTTATTTATTTTGTATTTACATTGTATCATGTAAAATTTATTTGTTCAGTGTATGTTCATTGGTGTTAATGTGTCCTTTGATTGAGTTAAGCTATTTCAGTCGATATTTTATAGTGTGTCTTTCTATGTTGTGATGTTACACTATTGTTTCAGAAAAAGGGTGAAGGTTTGGTACCATTAAAATGTTTAAACCCGCTGCATTTGTTTGCACCTGTCCTAAGTCAGGAATCTGATGTTCAGTAGTTGTCGTTTGTTGATGTGGTTCATAAGTGTTTCTCGTTTCTCGTTTTTTTATATAGATTAGACCGTTGGTTTTCCCGTTTGAATGGTTTTACACTAGTAATTTTGGGGGCCATTTATAGCTTACCGGTGTGAGCCAAGGCTCCTTGTTGAAGACAGTACTGTGACCTATAATAACTTACTTTTATAAATTTTGACTCGGATGGAGAGTTGTCTCATTGGCACTCATACCACATCGTTTTATATCTATATATGTTATAAATCATGTCAGTATCAGTACTGAAGCTTTGATTGAGTAAAACTAGAAATTGATCAAGTGAATGTATTTTATATAGTTGTATATTGTTTACTAAATTCAATAGATTAAGGACCCAAATTAGTAAAATGACCAAATTATCTTGTCAGTATATCCCGAAGCTACCTAAACAGAATCATTATGTTTGGTAAATATTTTGCTTAATTCAGTAAATTGAGGACAAAATTAGTAAAATGACGATAATATCTTGTCATTATTTTACGAAACCACATTCTAATATATATAAACAGTCATTATGTTTAACACTTCACACTTTCACCAAAATGTATGTTTGTATAAGCAGTTAATGTGATCATTACACAATTATCAGTTATAGATAATATGAATCATAGTTTGTATCAACTCAGTATGTGTGAAGGTCAACAAACTGTGGAATAGTATCAAAAGACAACAAATCAAGCCAGATTACTAAGGTTATAAGAAGGAACAAGACAACTGATAACTGCAAAAGTTCTACGATGGCAATCACGAATTTGTTTGTCGATTCCTTGTTCAAGTAGCTTCTAAACTAACAACAGAAATTTCATGCCCGCCATACATGTATATCCTACAAGTCCATTATCGTCATTACCGCCATGGTTCAAGCTATGGCAATTGCTACTTTATATTATAATAGAATCGTATGATGGGTGAAGAATGCAAAGCAGAATATATTGAATTACTTAATCTCACTCCACTTAGAGTTCATACAGATTATTTTCACTTCCATGGTGTTTATTTATTCTTGCAATTCTGACATTTGGTAAAAACCTTTCGGAATTTTTGGATCTCAATGCTCTTCATCTTCATACTTTGTTTGGCGTTTATTTGGCCTTTTACCTTTTTTTGATTCGAGCATCACTGATGAGATTTGTTTTAGCAAATGGTGTCTGGCGTACATAATCATAAGCCTGATATCTGTGATAAGTGTTTTGTATAATACATTTTTTACTGTGCCAATTTGACACGTTATGTTTTCTTGCTATTTAATTTGTTTTCGTGGAGTCTACTCGATTGAACAATACATATGTTTGCGATATCACATTAGTGGGGATTATATAATTGCGTTATTTTTCCTTCTACAATTAAATGACAGAATGTTGTCCGTGCTGAATTGACATATAGCTGGATCGAACATTACATATACCATTTCCTTTAACACTAATTTTAACAAAAGGAAATTATACCTTCAATATCGTTGCTGTAAGAGTAAATTCCAAGGTATTGAAGAAGAAAGTCGATTAACGCAGAAAATTAGATATTGTAGAAAATAATAAACCACCAAATGAACCAAATATACAACGCCTACTGTGACTGGTAAAATATACACGATACATTATCGCTCAGGGTCGTTTAGTACTTATTACCATATGGAGATTTAGTAACAAGGTCTGTTAGTCTTAATTATAGTTTTTGATCTAAAAGGAATTTGTCAAAAATTGAAGTATGATTCAAAAAAATAATTGCAAATTGAGAATTAATATGGATGCAATATGTTCATTTATGTTAACTTTATAAGTGTCTGTATAATAGTATTATATTAGATTATATAAAATCAATGTGACTTAAAAAAATAAGGAGTAGGTATGCTTAACCTTAAAGTCATTCAGAGTTGTTTTCATGTTCTTCCTACTAGAAAAAGTGGAAACAACACGCAATAAATTTCATGCATCTGAATCGCTTTTCTTGATTTCTCTTCACCAGGAACACTCAAAGCCGAATATTTGAAAGCCAAGGATGTATATGAACCGAAACAGTTGAAGAGCTATATGAAAAAATAGGACTTAAACACACAGCCAAATCCATCTAAGGTTAACTTTGCCTGAGAGAGTTGACACCTTAGTTTCATATTATGTAGAAATTTATTAACGGACAATTTTAGAAAGGTTTGTTATAAATCATGTCAGTACCGAAGTACCGAAGTACTGACTACTAAGCTTGTGATACCCTCGGGGACTGATAGTCCATAAGCAGAAACCAACAAACCAACAAACCAACAAACAAACAGACAATTTTATGTATGACTCATTTAAGCGCACATAGCCACTCCGTCTATCTAAGAGTAAAATTCTCCAATAAACTGGAAAGCATTGAGGTTAAAAACCTGCTCGGTTAATTTCAAAATAATATCAATGCTGATAAAAGGGTTGTTTCGTTCAATCAAAAAGGTTTTGTCAGCCAGTAAAGCATCATTGTTACGGATACTTGTAAAGAGAGCAGTGATGACAATAGTGAGGAAAATATTGAGGACATGATTGGAATTATACGCATAAAGTGGTAGATTTTCAACTATAAGTACACATATACAATGGAAAGATTAAAATATTAGTTTTGGGGAAAATGCATACTGAAACATTTCATCTGTCTTTCTGGATTACCAAGCCTACAAAATATGTGCCCATATAGAATCTGGAAGTAATTTGTTCGGAGAATACCACTTACTGAATGTTGAAAATAACATTTTTAAAGGTGCGTCTGAAGCGCTCTGTCTGGATTTACCTTTATCTGGAACGGTTAAACCCGAAAATGATGAAAGCCAAGGGTGTAAAATACCTAAATATATGTGGAGCTGTATGACCAAAAAGACCCATTGTTTTATCTTAGGGGTATTCATTTTGTATCCGAAACCCCTCTTAACTCCTCATTAGAATTTATTGACACTATAATAATCTAAACGTTAAATGGAATTGTGCACCTTCTTATTCTGTTTCGGAAGCGTCGAACTGGGGAGGGGTATCGACCATGTGAGCTCTGCTTACTTTGTTTCTATTCTTACCTGTATTAAAGTAGCTGCAGCTGGAATTTGTCGATTAAAATGTTTTTGTCTTTGTTTCTGTTGAACCTTTAAGGCAAATCCTGAACCTAATATACCCTGAATAAAATAAAATATCATTAAAATATTTTAAGCTTAATCATCATTATCAATATTTTGCAAACAAGGAATTTGCATCAAATTTAGTTTTGCTGGTATTTCTTTTTTCTAAGTCGGGAAATGAGTCTTTATCTTGCTCTGTGCATCATACGTAAATCGGAGATTACCGAATTTTGATTTCCCTGAGAACCAGTCATTAAGTAACTCTATCATTTGGTATAGGAAAAAAAAAAGAACATCTAAAAAGATACATCAATATAAATAAGAAGATGTGGTATGAGTGCCAATGAGACAACTCACCATCCAAGTCACAGTGTGTAAAAAGTAAAAACTTATAGGTTAAAGTATCAATCAATACTTGAAATGTTAAAAGTAGCATCAAACATTATGACATGTATGATGACTTATAAAGGGCAAGGTGCGATACGAACCTTATTTGGCCTGAGGTTTACTCAAATTTGAACTTCATATCTGGTATTTTCCTCTATGTCTGTTTTAAAGATGCAAAAAGATAAAACTAGCAAATATAGCACTCAAATGAATTTAATAGAGGGCGAAGAGTTCGTCACAATATAATCATTTATAAAAAAAAATCAAACCTAGAAATCTACAATCTTTCACAAGTTTTTTCCTGTCAGTTCTCGCGAACAATGTTTTGCCCTCTATTATGTTCAGTTGAGTGCTATATTTGCTGGTCTTTGCTATTTTGACACGTTTTGGAAGTCAGAATGACTTTACAAATATAGTAAAGAACCTTAGCTAATGTAATAATTGACAGAACAGTTTTCATGCATATCTCCTCATCTATATATATATATATATATTTTATATTTTTTCGTTTGGGCTTGTATTATATTTGCCTTCGGGTTTATATGATCCGTTCATCCTATTTCGACTCTTCAAAATTCAAGAGTCAATCCCAAAATTGAGGTAAATTATATGGCCTTCCAAATACTGTTTCGATTCCTAACATCACTGAAGAGACATTAATTGTCGAAATCCGGATATGGTGTACAAATTTTTGCACCTCATGTTTGCGATATACCATCTTTTCCGCAAGTTTATTGTTTTCTGTTTGGTATTAAATTAATATAATTAAGATCCATTGTGTTACATCTGTGATCCGTTTATTTGGCAATCGCCATGGCAGTCGGCAGGGTTTAAGAACATCCGTTGTTCGACCTGCTAGTCAAATGCGTTTTGTTAAAATATACTTTTTCACTTTTTTGGTCTTTTGGAAAATGTTGTTTGTGCTGTATTTAGACCCCTCTACAAAGAAATTTGTTTTGCATGCACACGTATAAAAATTGCGGTTTTTATCCAACGCAATCATAGGTTTTGAACGTTGTTTTCAATTTAGACTTGTTTATATTTTTTCGTTTGGGCTTGTATTATATTTGCCTTCGGGTTTATATGATCCGTTCATCCTATTTCGACTCTTCAAAATTCAAGAGTCAATCCCAAAATTGAGGTAAATTATATGGCCTTCCAAATACTGTTTCGATTCCTAACATCACTGAAGAGACATTAATTGTCGAAATCCGGATATGGTGTACAAATTTTTGCACCTCATGTTTGCGATATACCATCTTTTCCGCGAGTTTATTGTTTTCTGTTTGGTATTAAATTAATATAATTAAGATCCATTGTGTTACATCTGTGATCCGTTTATTTGGCAATCGCCATGGCAGTCAGCAGGGTTTAAGAACATCCGTTGTTCGACCTGCTAGTCAAATGCGTTTTGTTAAAATATACTTTTTCACTTTTTTGGTCTTTTGGAAAATGTTGTTTGTGCTGTATTTAGACCCCTCTACAAAGAAATTTGTTTTGCATGCACACGTATAAAAATTGCGGTTTTTATCCAACGCAATCATAGGTTTTGAACGTTGTTTTCAATTTAGACTTGTTTATATTTTTTCGTTTGGGCTTGTATTATATTTGCCTTCGGGTTTATATGATCCGTTCATCCTATTTCGACTCTTCAAAATTCAAGAGTCAATCCCAAAATTGAGGTAAATTATATGGCCTTCCAAATACTGTTTCGATTCCTAACATCACTGAAGAGACATTAATTGTCGAAATCCGGATATGGTGTACAAATTTTTGCACCTCATGTTTGCGATATACCATCTTTTCCGCAAGTTTATTGTTTTCTGTTTGGTATTAAATTAATATAATTAAGATCCATTGTGTTACATCTGTGATCCGTTTATTTGGCAATCGCCATGGCAGTCAGCAGGGTTTAAGAACATCCGTTGTTCGACCTGCTAGTCAAATGCGTTTTGTTAAAATATACTTTTTCACTTTTTTGGTCTTTTGGAAAATGTTGTTTGTGCTGTATTTAGACCCCTCTACAAAGAAATTTGTTTTGCATGCACACGTATAAAAATTGCGGTTTTTATCCAACGCAATCATAGGTTTGAACGTTGTTTTCAATTTAGACTTGTTTATATTTTTTCGTTTGGGCTTGTATTATATTTGCCTTCGGGTTTATATGATCCGTTCATCCTATTTCGACTCTTCAAAATTCAAGAGTCAATCCCAAAATTGAGGTAAATTATATGGCCTTCCAAATACTGTTTCGATTCCTAACATCACTGAAGAGACATTAATTGTCGAAATCCGGATATGGTGTACAAATTTTTGCACCTCATGTTTGCGATATACCATCTTTTCCGCAAGTTTATTGTTTTCTGTTTGGTATTAAATTAATATAATTAAGATCCATTGTGTTACATCTGTGATCCGTTTATTTGGCAATCGCCATGGCAGTCAGCAGGGTTTAAGAACATCCGTTGTTCGACCTGCTAGTCAAATGCGTTTTGTTAAAATATACTTTTTCACTTTTTTGGTCTTTTGGAAAATGTTGTTTGTGCTGTATTTAGACCCCTCTACAAAGAAATTTGTTTTGCATGCACACGTATAAAAATTGCGGTTTTTATCCAACGCAATCATAGGTTTGAACGTTGTTTTCAATTTAGACTTGTATATATATATATATATATATATATAAAACTCTTTTGTTTGACGGAACTTGTAACTCATACTTATATGTGAACGTGTATTGCCTTTTATAAGTGTCTTCATAAGGTTTTCGTTAAAGCTATCTGCTAGAAAATATATTTAAAATGTTATGCGGTTCTTAAATAATGTTGATCTACAGTGACACATTAGGAAGAAATACATTTAACGGTTTTAAGGATTTTTACTTTTCATTAGTTGTTATTTATTTTTTATGATATTCCAGTATTTACTTCGAATTTGGATTGAAGGGAAATCATAATTTTAGTTTACCTCTGCTGCAATAATACATAAACAGACATTATGCCTTTGGCAGGTTCACATATAAAACATAAACAGACATTATGCCTTTGGCAGGTTCACATATTAAACATAAACAGACATTATGCCTTTGGCAGGTTCACATATTAAACATAAACAGACATTATGCCTTTGGCAGGTTCACATATTAAACATAAACAGACATTATGCCTTTGGCAGGTTCACATATTAAACATAAACAGACATTATGCCTTTGGCAAGTTCCATTCTAATTCAGTAGTTTATAAAATGTCAAACTAAATGAAATTGCGAGTTATATCAGATTTGCTGAGGAAGTTTCCCATTAACGCGTTGTCTAAACCGGAATTGACTGACAAACTTCTTATAATCATCGTTTTAATAGGGGTAAATTCAGTAAATAAATATACGTCATCAGGGACCGCCCATTTGGGGGAGAGCTTTCTGTATAAAACTGAAGTCATGTGCTCTTCTGATTGGTAGATAATGTTTGTAATAAATATTTTTTGATAGATGGATAAAAACTAGAGTTGAAAAAAAAAAAAAAATAAATGCTGAATGTACTAAATTTTTTTACTACAGGGTTGAAAAGTTATGGGGGTCAGTGAAGGAATTAAGTGCGAATCTACAGTGTTTGTAAACAAGGCCATGTGAATGCCCAAAAATGCCGCATGACCCTATGTTTTTATTGTTGCAAATGATAGGGCTACATTTGTACTTTTATGAATGATATATGAATTTTTCTAATTTCTAAAGGTAAATCAGGTATAAATTTAATTCAAGACATAGATTAGCATTACAGTCAATGGGAGATTTTTTACTGAATTTACCCCTATAGGAAAATATGCATTCTGTCACTGTACTTGTCCAAGGCCACACAATAATCACAAAACTTATTTCCTGTGTATATTAATGTAATGGAAGCATTTTGGAACCATTTGAAGTTGTTTTTTACACAAATTTCTATGTTTAACTCGGCTATCCAAGATGCACTGAGTGTACTGTGAGAGGAAGCATGGGGTATATGGTAAAAATCAGTTTTTGTGTCCAGATTGAAAGAAACAATAGAAATTACACTTGAGAGTTATGATATCAATGAAAGGCATAAATATTCCCCACATTTTACAACACATTTTGCACATATTTCTCCTCATTATGTGTAAAATCATATGGAAAATCAGAATTACCTCCCTTTGACAGTGTATTTTTTTTAGCTGTGTTTCACCATGTTAAGTTGTAGAACAAGTTGTAAATAAGCACTTTTCAAGTATTTTAACACTTGAATAATCTGACCGCATGAAGATATTCATTTATTTTTACATAACGCATTGCGTTTCTTTATTTAAAAAAAATTGTAGATAACTTTTATGATTACATGCCCATCATCTATGAAACTAGTGTTGAAATGTTTGTAATTGGATTACTATGTTAAATAACTGCTTTTAAATATTCTAAATTGTTACTTTAATCTTCCAAATGCAAAGTTTGGTCATACCCAGTCTTATTTTTTCATATTTGGCACTTTTTTCTACTTCAGTTTTGTCTGTCTAGTTTTGGCGAAGAAACCATCCTGATGTTGGGGTAACAGGAATTTCTGCAGAGTGATTGTCAATGACATTTTGTGAACTTTACAAGTAATTAAAACACAAATTTAGTAAAATGAAACATAATTGTTGGTTTTTTTTGTATGAAACTGCTTAAAAAAGCCTTTGAAAAGTGTTTTTGTGGTCTTTTCAGGGTATTTAATCAAAAACTTCCATATAAGGCAAAATTTAACTAAGAGTACATCAAGACTTTAGTTTCTAGATGTACTTGCAATACTGGTCAAAGCAAACACAGAAAACAATTCATATTTATTAAGCATAGTATTTTACACCATTCTTTTACAAACAGTCAATATGCAACTTTATATACCAAATATACATTGGCCGCAGTATGGGCTGTAGTATAAATTTTCCTCTATCTTTACAAGTTCAGCATTTATGAATGTTGTATTGAAACTGGAACTTTAAAATTGTATACATTACATGATTATTACAAAAAAAGAGGGAAAAGCTACTAAAAAGTCCCTTATAGGGGTAAATTCAGTAAATAAATATACGTCATCAGGGACCGCCCATTTGGGGGAGAGCTTTCTGTATAAAACTGAAGTCATGTGCTCTTCTGATTGGTAGATAATGTTTGTAATAAATATTTTTTGATAGATGGATAAAAACTAGAGTTGAAAAAAAAAAAAAAATAAATGCTGAATGTACTAAATTTTTTTACTACAGGGTTGAAAAGTTATGGGGGTCAGTGAAGGAATTAAGTGCGAATCTACAGTGTTTGTAAACAAGGCCATGTGAATGCCCAAAAATGCCGCATGACCCTATGTTTTTATTGTTGCAAATGATAGGGCTACATTTGTACTTTTATGAATGATATATGAATTTTTCTAATTTCTAAAGGTAAATCAGGTATAAATTTAATTCAAGACATAGATTAGCATTACAGTCAATGGGAGATTTTTTACTGAATTTACCCCTAATACATTTCAGTGCTTTCATGATAATATCACTGTAGAAAAAGAATTATAGTTGTAACTGTACTATTGTCTAATGTGATTTTGAATTAAATAATTCTATTGTATTCCCTACGCTATTTCTCTTTATAAAGTGCAGTATAATATCAAGTCAGAAATAATGTATAAAATTGAATTAAGCTAATCATCAAAACACGAAAACACAATTATCAACACTGCATCATAACTGTCATGATGTTTTGGCCTTGTTGATTTCATTTGATATATTTGCGTCATACAGTATTCAGCTATTCCAAGAAACAGTTATTTCATTTGACGTACAAATGCACCGAGAAGTGAAATATATCTAGTTTTTTCTATACGGCAAGCCTAAGAAAGAGTTCTATGCGCGTGATTATGATATACATTAGTATGTTTCTACTCCAAACAATGGTGAAGAGAAACCAACTTCTGCTCCTGATCGTGTTTGAGAACTTGAAAGTCTATTTATCAAAGATTCGAATAGCAATTATTATTTCCTTGAAATTTTTATGTGTGATAGGAGACCCATTTTTAAACGACTGATTGGTCGCTTATTATAAGTTTCAGGAGCAAAAAGGATTCAGAACGTTCATAACATGTTAATCCGAGCCGATCCGTCTTTTCTCCTACTCCTAGATAATACATGCTTTGGTGGGAAGTCAATAAAAAAAGTTACAGAAGATATCAAGGCGCGGCTTTCAAACAATATAGAGTCAAATGAGAACAGCCAATACCATACCATGGGCACAAAAAATATAGAGTCAAATAAGAACAGCCAATACCATACCATGGGCCCAAAAAATATAGAGTCAAATAAGAACAGCCATTACCATACCATGGGCCCAAAAAATATAGAGTCAAATAAGAACAGCCAATACCATACCATGGGCCCAAAAATATAGAGTCAAATAAGAACAGCCAATACCATACCATGGGCCCAAAAAATATAGAGTCAAATAAGAACAGCCAATACCATACCATGGGCCCAAAAAATATAGAGTCAAATAAGAACAGCCAATACCATACCATGGGCCCAAAAAATATAGAGTCAAATAAGAACAGCCAATACCATACCATGGGCCCAAAAAATATAGAGTCAAATAAGAACAGCCAATACCATACCATGGGCCCAAAAATATAGAGTCAAATAAGAACAGCCAATACCATACCATGGGCCCAAAAAATATAGAGTCAAATAAGAACAGCCAATACCATACCATGGGCCCAAAAAATATAGAGTCAAATAAGAACAGCCAATACCATACCATGGGCTCAAAAAATATAGAGTCAAATAAGAACAGCCAATACCATACCATGGGCCCAAAAAATATAGAGTCAAATAAGAACAGCCAATACCATACCATGGGCCCAAAAAATATAGAGTCAAATAAGAACAGCCAATACCATACCATGGGCCCAAAAAAGGTAAAGAGAAAGGATAAACAGCAATATGGTACCCGTCGTGTTGCTGATGAAAGTAAAAATCCTTTAATAAGTTGCTTTCGGTATTGTTACAATCGAGATTGTGGTCACAACAAGTGGAACATATCCGTATTCATATGTGACACATGCAGTTCTAAATGTCTTTGGTTTGATTTATATTTGGGATTTCTTTACTTTGTAAAGTAAGATTTTTAAGTGTTTCGTTTGATCCTCGCAGACCGTATGGCATTAAACCAATGACTTCACACACTAGTCAAGCAAAGAGACACTACAACGTTATTGCCTATACAAAGGAAGCTGTCAAATTTATACATGTTTACAAAAATGCAAATAACCGAAGTTTTAAAATTTTATCGCTTGGTAATTTTCGCTTTGATATTGTGACATTCGTTTACAATATTAAATATATCTGATATTATCCAATAAATATGATTAAAATCACACGTGCACATAACACACCAAACTCGACATATCTTACTTTCAAAGTAGGGCAAAACTAATTCATTATTGCTTTTGAATATCAAGATAACAATAAGTAAATGCCTCATAAAAAAACGTTGTATTTAGTTGTTAGAATTTATGTTACAAAATGTATGCGTTGACTTGATCAACACATGGTACACAATTCCCCTACTTTTTTCTTTGCAAAACGATACCCAGACATTTTAAAATAATAAATGACTCTGAAAGTGATTACAGTGAAGAGAATATTAACAAATTCCATTACCTTTATTTTATGGGAACCTGTCTCTTACAAAGTTGATGAAAAGACATTTCATTACTTAAAACAATGAATAAGTTGAAGACCTGACAATAAAAAATGTCAAAAAGTCTGGATCATTTATGTTCTCTGTCTGGATTTTCCAAATTGATATGAATGGAATCGTACAATTCAAAATAAAAAAAACTACAAAAAAAAACACTGTTTTATTATAAATTAGGCAGTTAGTGTTCTCAATGGAATAGTTTCATATTTTTCATGTCGGGGCCTTTTATAGCCGACTATACGGTATGAGTTTTTCTCATTGTTGAAGGCCGTAAGGTTTCCTATAATTGCTTACATCCACTTCATTTTAACTTGGGCGGATAGTTGTCTCATTGGCAATCGTACCACATCTCCTTATTTTTATACAAAGATACAATAACTGCAATTAGTAAAAAAAAACAGCCATTGATACAGATAAAGATAAGTAGCTACTTCGAATATGAAGGCGTAATCTGGTAGTTCAAAAGGTCAAAAAACTTAATGAATGTATAAACAAAACAGATCGGCTTTACTTAATTAATCAAGATTAGATGGGTGCGAAAGAGCCTTATGGAATTGCAAACGGTATTCAAAATGTAAGAAGGACACAACTGAAAACAATACCACAAGCAACAACGACCAATATTGAATCAGATCTTTATATACATGTACGAAACACAAAAGTGAAACCAGAAGTTTAGAAATGCCAGACACAGCCTGATATATGAATGCAGCATTCATAAGATTGCACTATGCTAAAACCTAGTTCATGTTGCTCAGTCTTTAGTTTTCTATGTTGTGTTTTGTATACTATTATTTGTCATTTGATCGTTTTTCGTCAGTTTGTTTTCGACTTATGAGTTTGAATATCCCTTTGATATATATCCCCTCTCGTTTACTCTTTTACGGAAGAGTTTGATTTAAAAGTAGAGGCACTATAATATTTAGAAAGCAACAAAACCACTATTATCGTTAATTTGAAAGTAAAAAAGACAGAGACACTTTAATTCTAACATGTCTGTGTTTAGACATACAAACTTCGAAATGAGGAATGGCAGGAGTCAGATGTACTAATATAAAGATTTAAATTCAGCTGCATGTACAGCGTGATACCGATAATGCTTACTTAATAACCATTAACAATTTATAATTAAGGTAAAGCGCTATAGTTAATGGTGTCGTATGCTTGCTATTTCATTGACGTATATCCTAATCTTCTTTCATTTACACTTGTCGATTATAATATTTACCGTGGACATTCAAATGGAAGATGTAATTAACTATGATGGAAAATTAGGTTCTTAGACAATGACGTCTAAATGAGAGACAAACAAATAATAGATGAAAATAGCAAAGACAAAAAACAAAATAAAAGAACAAATGCTGAAAAGACGACACAATTCGTTGAATATAATTTACAACCTTTAAGACATAAACAGAATCAAGTTTGATTCAATATATTTTATACAATCATATCATATAAAATCAAACAAATGGTATATCTAGCTATATCTACTCACCGCGGGTAAGGCAAAAAATGATATGGCGAATACAGCAAAACAAGAGGCAACAATTTTACCCATCCACGTCTGAGGAACTTTATCTCCATAACCTATTGTCATCACTGTTATCTTTGTAAAAAAATAAAAAGGAACACTGAATGGCAACTCCCATATAGTAAGTGTTTCCACAAATTATGCAAAGGATATTAACATCTTTCACGTGTCTAAATCTGACCATTAAGGCTGTCAAATACATTTTATTTTGTAGAAGTAAAGACAACAACTCATAAAGAACACGCATGTATGTCTAAAATGCATACTGTAAATTGTCAGCAGGAAACTGGTGGACCCCTTATTCTCGCATTCTTCAATTCCAAGTTTAATAACTGGGTGGAAAAAAATAACAAAAACATACGTGGTTATAGCGTTTTACAAACAATTTTTTTAAAACAAAACCGCTTGATTTATCAAAAAAAAAAAGAAAGAAATATCATACTTATAATATTTATATGGAGCTATAATAACTCAGGTATTCAATTTTATAGGTTGATGAATTTTTTTTTTTAATACAACGAATATGATATCCACCTTTTCATGGTTTTTTTTGTCTAAAAATATTTAAAAAGTTATTTTTCAAATTACATACCATAATTCTATCATTACGTTTTCATGATAAACGTAAGCATAATCGTATACACTTTTAGACAACATAGGTCTTGAAAAAAAGACGGTGATAACTTGATAACTATGGAAAAAACAACATTTTGGCAAAGTATAAAAAAATTCAATCGTTTTTATTGTTTATAATATTTTAACTTCCTTAATCGCTCCGTTAAGGATGTAGTCAGTTCAGGTTTAGGAATTTTTGTCAGATTTTCGGACCCCTTGGGTTTTTTCCTACGATACAAAGTAAAATATTTTGCCCCATATCACCCACTTTTCTTTTCATAGAAGACTTTAATAGCTCATCAAAGGCCATTACCAAAATTTAAGCAGATTTTAGATTTCTTTTCTTACAAGTTGAGACCCAAATAATGTCAATGCTAAATATAAGGTTAAAGTCGGAGTCAGCTTTTTCCCGCCATTTTATTAAAGATCAAATATTTCAAAAAGGAGATCCATAACCTATCAATATTTTTAGCTTATTTTGTTGCTTAACTAATGCTCTTCTGATTTACAGTATCAATTTTAAGTTCCAGATTTTTTTAATTTCACCTAACTACATCTTTAAGTAGTTTTCATCATATTTTTTTCAATTTTTTCATGAATTATTAATAGCCAGATCCTTTGGATCTGTAAATACTTACAACTCCCCACCATAAGGCATCTGCATAACTAGCAAAATCATCTCTACTTTCGTCTCGTTCAGCGAGATAAACAAAATATGAGGAAAATATAAGGCCTAAAAATCCTATATACAATGTTGTGATTAGCTCCTGAAATAGAAATAAGAAATATAAGTGCAAATTAGACTATAAAGATTGAACCTCATTTCTTCCTAGTCTTACAATGCTCGGACGTCTGAAGTCCTTTTCTAGGACTTCTTGGAGCCACAGGACGTCAGAGCGTAGACCATACGGAAAACACGGAAATAGCCGACCTAGACAAAGATAAGTAGATAAATCATACATCATTCGAGTCTTTATTACTTTACCCCCAACTCCAACTTATACGTACTAACCACCTGCAGCACAAGCAAAAGCTTCTTTTTGGGTCCCTAGTGGTCATATAGCTCTCAAAGTATTCAAGTATTGATACACCATAGTCTTAAAAAATATTAAGATAAATCAAGAAAAGTGCTTTGGACGTACCAAATCTATAAAGTGTTATTTCATTGAAATTGAATACTTTCTTACTAACAGTTCACTCTATGGTCTGTAAACATGAGCAAAGGCCCTAACTGCAAAATAGTCTATGAAAGTCGGGTTTGAATTTAATCACAGCTTGTCTGGATTGGGTGATTTAGGACATGAATTGAAGCATACCCTTAAACAACTTCTATAGGAGTTTACCCGTTCCTTTTATATACCTTATTCAATATATGGCGTTTTAAAAAAAGAGGAATGCGAAATTGAATAATCATTTGATACTAATGAAGAGTTAGCAAATAAGTCTTTTACAAGGATGGCTTATAATTTCCAAATTCATAATAATCATATCTGACATTGAAATCTTGAAAAAAGGAAAATGTCTTGTTTTGCATATGCAAAATTTTACATCTGCTGAAATTTCTTTGTGCCAGGTTATATAAATAAGATGTTTTTATCTTTTTTATTCAATATTAACCGATAACGTTTTACAATAATTTTACAATACTTTTTCATATCATTATAGAATTGTTTTTTGTGTAATGCATTTATGAATTTAGTTCTACAAGTTCCACTTTGAGAATTCGTAATAATAAGACAATATAAGTTACACCAGACACATCTTATTACTTGAAACTGTTCATTTTACAATGTATCACGTCAAAATACAAACACATCATCTTCACTGTATCTTGTAATTGCTGTCTCAGGAAATCAACTCTCACCGTCAACACAAAAAATATCACGAAATACTATCAAAGATTTAATCGGTTATTCACAGATAACACATTTGTAAATAAAACAATGTAATGCACTCTGCAGAGAATATATATATATAAAAGTGCCGAGCTCTGCAAAAGCGGATTATTTTCTGAAAATGTACTTTCTCAAACACTTAACTGCTAAAGTGTCACGCATATACATTCCATTGGGAACCACTAAAAGAACAGTGTATAGAAATAAGAAGTTGTGGTATGAGTGGCAATAAGACAACTCTCCATCCAAGTCACAACGTGTAAAAAGTAAACAATTATAGGTCAAAGTACGGCCTTCAACACGGAGCCTTGGCTCACACCGAACAGTACGCTATAAAGAGCCCCACAAAGACTAGTGTAAATCAATTCAAACAGGAAAACCAACGGTCTAATCTATATAAAAAACGAGAAACACTTATGAACCACACCAATAAACGACTACCACCGAACAACAGGTTCTTGACTTAGGAAAGGTGCAAATAAATGCAGCGGGTTTAAACGTTTTTACAGGCGCCAACCTTCACCTTAACCTGAAATAGTAGTGTAACATTACAGCATAGAAAGACACGCTCACCATACATATTAAAGATTGCTCCAGTGATTATGATATTTATATATCGGTATGTACATATGCAACGTTTTTTGTATATTTTGGGATTGATAATAACTCAGCATAGATACCAGGATTGAACGTTTGTATGCCAAACACACGTTTTGTCTACAAAAGACTTTTCAGTGACACTCGAATCTAAAAAGAAAATAGAGTACGAAGATGAAGAGCATTGAGGACCAACATTTCCGAATGTAACTGATAAACCTTTTTAATTAATACTTAATAAAAAAAGGAAAATAATGAGAAAAGAGTATCTAACAAAACATTGTGTACATCCTGTTATTAAATGTCATACATATACATGTAGTATGACTTAAATTTTGGCCCTGGAAAAAATGTGCTATGAAAGGTTTTACGAGAATATATTCTAAAAATTAAAGAAGTTGTGAACTCATGTGTCCAGGAATGACAAGGAACAACAAGACAAAAGACAAAATCTTAGCAACACAAAACCATTTAACCTTTGAGTAAACCACGAAGTTCCGGTGGTTATCGTAAATGGAGCATCATGTTCATCCACTGATTTTTGTTTAGGTGGATAAATCAGAATCGTGATTGTGAACGTAAAGTTTTGAATGGAGAACACTCTGCCCTTATCAATAGCTTCATCATCTGACAACCCTATTAAGGAAATTTAGAACGCAAACACATGCTCTATAATTATATGTTATATACTCAGAAAATCGTTTCTCGAAGTACAGTTGCTGTATACATGTACAACATGGCAAATTCAAAATGGAAAGTTAATAGTTATTTCTTTTGTCGTAAAGTGTACTTCTCAAACGACCCTCGCTGTCAATTTGTAATGGTAAGATGTTATGAAATTGACTAAGCTGTCACTTTTGGTAATTTTTTCAGGGTCAAGGAGATACTATTAGATGCAATAAACATTAATAACTAATATTTGTCATATTTAGTGGAAGGAAATCGGCTTTATAGGCGAACGTGTACTTAAAAGTATTTTGCTAGCTTCATTTTTATTCTTCTAAAGAATTCCATGATTGATATATACCTTTCACGAATAAAAAACGAAGACAAGCGAATACACGAACACAATGGTTCCTTTAGTAATGTAGACCGTCTGTAGACCGTGATCGCATGAATCGTATAAACAATGCACAAATCTCATTTGAAAAGAAAGAAAACATATATTTCCTTTTAGGGCTTCTTTGGTTCCAAAATATGGAACTTGATATATGATATAAACACATGTCTATTGCTGACAAAAGTATGCTGGCTACTTGGTGTTTTTTGTTTTGTTGTTGTTGTGATACATGTATACCACAACATCCCCTTTCCTTCATATGTAGCTAATAATTGAGGTTCAACAGCTTTGAAGTATATTGACCTTTCATTAATTTACTAAAGCTACAGTACTAAAATTCATAATTTGACGCAACTATTTTGACAACATTACAGTTTTTGAATACCAAAGTGAAAATAATACTTTATAAAGTGGGAGCGTGCGAAGCGCTTTTCTGGATTAACCTGATCAAATTCTTTAATGGGAAGAAAGTCAGAATAAAACATATAGACATTTTAATATGTTGTAAACAAATTTTATACACGTTTTTGTTTAAAAGTTTTGTTTGGATAATCAAAGATAATATCGGCTAGTTACGACGATCTAGTTTAAACTACTGATTTGTTAGAACATCAATGACCTTTACTTTTCTATATGAAATCCCGATTGCTGCGAAACTAGGACGATGAAAAAGATTTTAATCCATCACTGCTGACATTTCGAATGACTACTAATAACCATATTACATGTAGAACACGAAAAGGATATTTTAACATTTGCATGTTGTGATTTCTAGAACTGTGCTGAGATATTCAAATAAGTTTAAGAATTAAATTCAATAAAACGTTTACATCCGATGACATTTCTTTCGTAAATGTCCAGCACGCGACATACAGATGAAATCGTAAAATCACTAGCATTACTACATACGATATTCCCGGGCTTGTATTTCCTATTATGATTTCCTTGATAGAGGATTGCTGCTCACAAGGAAGCTATTAATCCAAGAGTTCCAAATGGTGAAGTTGAAATCATCCCTTCGTAAATTTTACGGACGCCATCACGAGTTGTTTGACCGTTATGGGATAACCGTTTCACAGATGATATCGGGTATGTTCCTTATGTCGTAACTACAATACCTTTCCCTTTTCACGAATTTGACCTACCGAATTAGACTATTTACCGGATTTGTAATAACATAAGCAACACGACGGGTGCCACATGTGGAGCAGGGTCTGCTTACCCTTCCGGAGCACCTGAGATCACCCCCAGTATTTGGTGGGGTTCGTGTTGCTTAGTCTTTAGTTTTCTATGTTGTGTCATCTGTACTATTATTTGTCTGTTTGTCTTTTTATTTTTGGCAATGGCGTTGTCAGTTTGTTTTCGATCTATGAGTTTGACTGTCCCTCTGGTATCTTTCGTCCCTCCTCTACAGTAAAATAACCAAAGAAATTGCATATAATTACGTGTTGAGGCAAGCACATATCATGCACATCGAACAATACCATAAATTGGGAAATTTTGACGTCGGGATATTTTGGCGGTTTTCTCTAGAAAGGCATGTGTTTTATTTTGGTGTGTGTAATTTTGGTGCTTCGTCCAATTGATATGTTTAATTTTAGAACAACAGTAGTGAGCAAGCTCATTCATATTTGCCTTTATTTACCTGCTTATTGACAAAATATCATTGAATTTCTCGAACTAGAAACACGACAAAGTGAATTTAAGGAAAGAATCGGATACGGATGCAATTGCAAATAATTCCGTATATGAGTTTCAAAGCTGAAAGAAAATATGAAATAAAATCTTAAACATTAAAATCACTTTCTAAATCAATTATTTATTTTTTACAAATATCATATGAAATAAATTTTAATCATCTCTATTGCAGTACAATATGTAAATCGATTGCCGATCAAGGATTTAAATTTTTATCCTTATGCCTCTAGCAGTACATGTTAATTAATTGAAGATAAAGGATTACAAGGAGTTTTGATATTCTAATTACCAATAACGGCGTCTAATCAGCAATAGCCTGGCATATTTATGACATGTGTGAATGCAAATTCATATTGTGTTTTCTTAACAGTTTCAGAAAATTGACAATTATGTAAACATTGTATAGTGTTGTTGTCAAAGTATACCAGGTATTGATTTGCGGATTTGGCTATGTATAGAATTGTAGGAAATATACGGAAGATATAATAACATTAAATATTTTCCCCAACAATTAGCATTACACATTGTCGTACCGGTACGCGATTTTGACGTTTCAATTTTTAGTGTTTGCTTTATTTTCGTGTGTTTAATTTTGGCACTTTCATTGGAGGCACCAAATAAACCAAAATAAAACTACAACCAAAATAACCCAATTTACGGTATTTAAGATGTCTTTTTTTTTGTTATAATAAAAAGAAAAAGCCTTCACATGTTTTAAGTAAAAGGTTAAAATTGACTCTTATATCAGATATATATCTTTCTCTAATTTTTGTGCTATTTTCACATTTCTTGAGCGGTGTGAGAAAAAGATTCCTCCTCACTAGTGAAATATCTGTTCTCAGCAAATGATTGATCGAAATTTAATTATGACCTTAAGTTTTCTCGAGTTCTTCTGAATTTCCTATTGTGACGTCATTAAAAAAGGCGACCATGCCTGATGACGTCACATATAGAGAACACGAATGTAGGACAGAAAGTCACAGGACAAAAAGTCACAGACAAAAAGTCACAGACAAAAAGTCACAGGACAAAAAGTCACAATTCAGTTTTGAGATTATTTTTCTTTAAACAAGAAAACACTAATTTAAAAAATTATAAATTTTTGTTTTTTCTTGAACTATTATATATGAAGCAACTTTGTAATTAAAATTTATTCAATAAATATCAATAATGATTAAATAATTGTTATGAAAACAAAATGTCAAAGTGGCTTGGTACTTAAATGGCTTCATTGTGCCAAGAAATATATCCTTTGCATGATTAAAATTTAATAAATTTTCATTTATCAAGGCTTATGAACAATTTCCTAAACTTAAAAATGAATATATGTAATAAAAAGAAAATATTTCACGATCTTTCTTTTATATATTCAAACAATTGTCAACAAATTATTGTGACTTTTTGTCCTGTGACTTTTTGTCCTATCAAATTTGTGACTTTATGTCCTGTGACTTTTTGTCCTGTGACTTTCTGTCCGTTTACCAAAGAACACAACTGTCTGCAAATATTTGAACAGGAAGGATGCAAATCATAAGAGAAACAGATTCCACCACTACAACTCGTGTATTACAATATTTCTCCACTCTCAACAGTTAAATTTTAATTATTTAAAAAGCTCGGCAAGCCTCGCGCTTTAAATATTAAAATTTAACTTTTTCGAGTGGAGAAATATCGTAACACACTTGTTGCAGTAATGGAATCTATATTTATATGATAGAACATTTAAACATGTAAACATTATAATAAATGCATTTCTATGCAAGTCCCAGTAACGCACGATATTGATATTGCTTCAGTGCTGACGGCATAACCTTCTGATTAACCTTCTAATACTATCCATGATATGTAGACTTGATCTTTTTCAAACTGTCAAAAAGTGATTTAAGAAATAAATGCTATAACATTTACAATAAGCTCGGGAAATTATAATGAAAAATATAATCTTCAGGAGGAAATGAAAACAATATTCTGACGTCTGTTGAAAACATCTAACATAAATTTGAAAACAAGTACGAAATACTAAAATATAATTTAAGGTGATATAATATATGGGTATCAGTTTCATTTGAGGGAAAATACTGCAGGAAACTATTGCACTAGAGTATACTGTGATGAGGACGTTTGGTACACTACAACTATAAATGCTTTGACAGTGTTCACAGTCGTTTAAGGGGTCTATTATATGTACTGTAAAGTTCAGTAAGGTACTATCAACCAAGTAGTATGTACATGTACTCTATTCAACACTTACATTAATTAATCTCTGCATGCGTAATAAATCATATAGGTGGAAACGATATTCTTCCAAAATAGTTTTTACAAGATAGTACAAACATTGGTTTTCTATTGAACAGTACGTAATGAAATATATCATTATCCTACGCACTGCTACCGATAGTCACACGGCATAATGTCAGAAAAATTTGAACTTTTTATGATGTTTTACAATTATCAATTTGGAGGTCAACTGTCAAGGAAAAGCTTTATCGTTTTATCAGTTAGAAGGATCTTTTCATCATAACTTTCAATAACTGCAAGCACTCCAGGGTTGGTGTTTTACTCTCTTCTTGTTTAAACCAAACCGATCGGATCAGGTAAGTCAACTTTAAATGATTTTTGCCAATCATTCAATTATTATATAGGGTAATATGGGCAACTGTCTGATTTGAAGGAGTAGAAATCTTTGGCTGTTGTACTTATTTTACTCGAAACAATCGATGACAGTAAAATATTTTCTTGATATGTTTGAATTTTTTGTTGAAACTATACTAACTATCTTGCTCTGTATAATGTAAAATTAATTTTAAAACAAAGCTTGAATTTGACTCTACAAAATTTTAATCATACATGATGAACAAGTTTCTCTAAATAACTGATTGAACATGAACTGTACTTGACCAAGTCTGAGACTGACTCGAAATAGGTTTAACTGTACTTTTGATTAGACTTGGTCAATAAATTTTGCCTAATGTGTATGTTGGGCTGAACATCAAACTTGTCAGTTTAATGTATATAGTTATATACAAGTTGCTACTGTCAGAGACATATAATACATGTATTATATGTCTCTGCTACTGTTAACCACAGTTGAGTTTCAAAAGTTACAAACCCAGTTAATTTGCACTTTCCTGATTGTTCGTATCAAATAAACAGCAATTGGTCGATTTAGGCCCTTACTGATTTTTTAAAAAGATTTTATAGATACCTGTCTGTGTAAATAAATGACTGATCCTAGAAGTCTCCATGTTCCTCCTTGTCTATCTACATGGAGCATGCGCAATATTTGTAAAAATCGTACACCCCTGAAATGAAAATATCAACATCATACAGAGTTGAATTCAATTATATTTCACTGTTTTGCACATGTCAGATATTTTTTATCGTTTATAATCTACATTTAGTACATGGTGGTGACTGTGAGCTATCATGTGTTGTAAATGTGAGCTAGCATGTTTTGTGAATGTGAGCTATCATGTGTTGTAAATGTGAGCTAGCATGTGTTGTAAATGTAAGCTAACATGTGTTTTGAATGTGAGCTATCATGTGTTGTGAATGTGAGCTATCATGTGTTGTGACTGTGAACTATCATGGGTTGTAAATTCGAGCTATCATGCATGTGTTGTGAATGTGGGCTATCATGTGTTGTGTACATTAGAAATAATGTATTCTTAGAACGCAATATTTCATTTTGCCGTTTTTCCATGTACAAAAAGTTCAAGAAAAAACAAACAGCCTTATTAAAAAAATGATAGAAGGATTGAAATATGGTATATAAATTCATGACACAAAATCCTACGCTCGCGTGAAAAAAAGTAAGAAGACCAGTGCTTGTATTGCTGTTGGTCATCTGAATACAACAATGGGGCCTTTAAAATCGAGTTAAAACTCTCAACTCACTGCAAGCAGTGTCAATCACAGTTATATTCCCAATCTTATAAATTGGATATTTTGGAATTATATATTTTGACAAAATTAATCCAATTTTCAAAAATAGAAAACATAACACAGACATAGCAAGGGCGAGGTCATACCCTATATTAATAAACCAATGTTACATTTGCTACACACTATTTTCTAAACTGTTACCTTATTGCAGATGTGGCAAACACTTGTCCTTCAGACCCAAATGTAAATACTACTATAGAGGCTATAACTACAATTAAATCTGAAAAAAAAATGAAAATGATTATAATTCAAATGGTAACACTAAGTTCACTATTATGTGTCTATCAAAGCATACTAATATTTCATATGTGTGTTCAAATTGGGTGTATTCATATGTATACTACATAAATGTATATGATCAATGCATAACAAGATCGTATAACTGTTCGTATCAATTGTCCAGCAATGCATTATCATGCAGCAATGTGTTATCAGTTTATTTGGACCAGCCTCGTAACCATTTTTCACATGATTTGTTATACGAATTTTACTGTTTTATCTGTTGATTGAATTTCTAATATAGGTCTGACTTTGACGCATACATGTTTATTAATATGACCTCGAAACTACCTTTATCAGCCAAACTTAACATTGATGAAAAACCTCTTAAAATTGAGTTAAAAGTCTGTTGAACCTGGCATGCAAAGCCTTGTACACCTTACCATGATCCTATCGACCATCTAAGGTAATGCTTTTTTCAGACTGTTTATTACGTCTTTACACTAAATCGTTTGGATGCCTACTTTAAACTGGTAGAACATGATTAATTCATTAGTTGCTATTTGGCTTTGAACTAGGCTAAGCGTTCAGTAATTTCGAAAACTGTTAGATTGATACTTTGTGTGTTTGTCTTTATGTTAGTTGTTACTTGGGCACGTGCCAATCTGATGAGTCAAGCCATTTCAAACTGATTTATTTGTTTTAAGTTATGCTATTACACCACTGGTCTAATTTGGAGAGGGTTGACCTCTCACAACCATGTCACCCCCCCCCCCCCCCCCCCCCCCCCGCATTCGATGTGTGCGTGTTACAAGACAGGAGACTGTAATTCAGGGGTTGTAGTTATACTTGTTTTTCATTTATTGTTTTGTCATAAATCAGGCCGTTGGTTTTTTCGTTTGATTTATTGCACATTTTGTCATGTCGGTACCCATTACATCTGCCTATACGGTATGCATTTTGTTAGTTTTTGAACTAAATACAGTTTGTGTATGGTAATGAAAAAAGTCGTGGAATAAAAAATCTGTGTAAATTTGTATGTAATCATTGAACAAGGAAAAGATGTCAACGACAGTTAATATATGCTAGACGTAGCTTCAGGGCATGAGGCGTCTAAATAAAAGAAGTAGAATATCTAGCTCATCTACCTTCTCAAACATAAAGCTTTATTTCAAGTTTACGCTGTCGCACCCCTGTGACTCTCGTTTTATGGCATTTGGAGCAGCCGAGACAAAAAGCATTAGTAGGACAAAATTGTATTTGTAGTAGCCAAGACAACAAGACAAAATTGCGGACAAAAATATGATAATACAAATATAGTAGTCTCTTTTTTAAAAGCTAATCAGAGACAAAATCCACACTTCTACCAATACAAAAAGTTTCCATTAACGGATAACTGTGGTTGCTTCATATCATTAAAAACAATTCCACTGAATTACTTAAAGTGATATTTACATTCTTCTTATAAACAGTGTCATTCCAATCAGGATAATTTTCATTTATCATAATTAATATTATTAAACGAAGTTAACTTTCCTTCACATAAAGACACCTGGTCCTTCAAATTGGCCACTATCGGTTAAATTATCCAAGTCGGAAAATATTCTCAATTTTCAACATTAAATAGAACATTTAACTTACCTATTATAGAAATTGGTTTTCTGGCAAATTTTAATCTTCCTTTTAATCCCATATATTTACTTCTACACCCTGCTGACCACAGCCGTATCACATATTCTAAGCCAAAGAAACATACTAAAACTATCTCCTGTAAAATGAATACTTCTGTTTAATTTTGGTAAAGGTCCATTTATGTGTTTTTAGTAACTATTTCAGCAGCTATTTTTTTTAAGAGAAAAGAAATGTTTGGTATTATATTTTTTTCTCTCACACAGACAAAAAGAAGGCTTAATTTAGACGGCTTTAAATGCGGCTGTTGCTGCTTTCGTCAGGTTCCTGGTCGATGCACATGCTGCTGGACATGAATTTGTCAACAAAATTACAGTTTAAAAAGCAGATAAGAAGGAATTTCCAATGTCCCTTCAACAATCACGTTCAGTATGGAAAATTAGCAGAAACTATGTAAGTATATATGAAGGAAATTACACCGTTAGGGTATGGGGGCAAATAAAATGATACAACAAAATCGTTGATTTTTTTCGTCAAAAAACTGCTCTACAACACTTAGTGATGAGCTACACTTATACTATTACACCTTAGCACAATATATTTGCATATACAAATAAGGAAATGTGACACGATAGCTAATGAGACAACTATCCATTATAACCTAAGGGTAACAGATGGGAACGTATGACTTTTGACAATGAGCAAAACACAGCCGTTAAGTAAGCTATAAAAGGCATGGGATGACAAAATGCACTGTCTGATTTATACTAAAGCAAAGAAAAACAATTATGACGGATCCAATAACGACACTCATTGTATAAAATGTTTTCTGCCTGGGTACAGGCGGGAATGTACGGGGGTTAAACATTTTTGTGAGCGCTCAACTCTCCTCTTGCCTGGAACAGTGATATAACAGCACAACACAAGAACAAACTGTAAAAGGCAGATTGAAAGAGCTTTACTCAACCGAACGTTACAAGCACAAACAAAAATAACAAAAAGACAAAAGTCACCAACTACCGATCAGAGTACTAACAGTTACTGAAACTTTGTTCAAAGTCCATTTCAACACTTTTCTAGATTAAAACATTACATGAAACCTAAATGATGTTTAAATTAAGAAAAAAACGTGTTCGACATTACCGACCTCGAGTTGTGTAATGGATTTTTGTTAATAAGCTTGTCATGTTGTTTGTATGACATACAACTTTTCCAATTATTTCAACCTAGTTCGTTTGTTTGTATATTTAAATACATTTTTTCACGAGTTTGATGTTTTATGTCATTGTAGAGATATTTGTTTTGTATTGTTCTGTGTCTACAGGTCAGGTGACCAGTTTCCGAAATTTTTAGATAAGTTAGATTTTATTGACTTTGGTCACAGAAATATTCTCTTTTCTCACTGATGCTTTATGACCCCTAAAGTTTTATTCGCATACTATACCAGAAACAAATATTATTGCTAAGGGACAAGTATACAAAATTACATTAACAGACTTGGATTTTGTCATTGAGTCTTCTCGACATATAGTCTTTGATTTATTTTATGACACAGTAGTTATTCGTACATATAAATAAAGTTAATTTTTCAGACAAATTCATGTGCGATATATTTCAAATATTTTAGCAGCCTTTTAGATCTATCAATAGAAAGGAAAGAAGCAGTCCCAAAATTATTGCATAACTAAAACAACCTTGCATTATACAGCAGTCAATAACTGTCACCAGCAATAACATGGAGTAATAAAAAAGTTAGGTATACCTTAAAGCATTTGGGGGAATGCTATCAGATATATGTCATATATAATGATAAGGAAGAGAGGTGACAGATACCAAAGGGACATTTAAACTCATAGGTTGAAAATAAACTGACAACGCCATGGCAAAAAAAAAAACAAAACAAAAGACAAACAAGAGTACACAAAACACAACATAGAAAACACCAACGACTGAGCAACACGAACACCATCTAAAACTTTTAAGAGGAAACGGAAACAATAGCATGAGTAGACTTTTGTCAAACAAAGTTAGGGAAATAAAAAAGCTCATGAATCAAATGGCTTTGACAAATTTTTCTATGAACGATAGCACACGACACAAACACTAAACGATGTTTTGGCTGATAAAAATGACCCGCGAAAAATAAAGTTTTTTGCCAGACATAGAACTCATTTAAAATAACGATTTTCACACTTAAAACTTATCAGTTCTTAGCGAAAGTTATATTTGCAACTTGTATTAGAAGACCAAAAAAATCTACAACAAGTTTTGCATGAAACTACAACAACATTGTATCATACAGCGGCCAATAACTGTCACCTGGTTATAACACAGAGTAATTAATAAAATATCAAAATATCAAGATGTGGTATGATTGCCTATGAGACAAATCTCCACCATAGATCAAAAGTCGGGTATACCTTTTTAGCATTTGTTGAAATGCTATCAGATATATACCATATAATAGTTAGAAACATGTAGGAATAGCCTTATACAATAGCATGAGTAAGATTTTGTCATCAAAGCTTAGGAAAAAGTAAAGCACATAAGTCAAGAGTCGTTGACTGATTTTTTTCTACGACTGAAAGCACACGACACAAACACTGGTGGCAGTGATCGCTTTTTTTCGATAAAAGGATAAGTCTACGACAATTGTATACCATCCTTGCATGCCTTATCTCTTTACTCTTTTATTCTTATCTCGGTATGACGAAGTGATCCTTAGTGTTACTATACATAATGACTGATTTGAACAGTTAAAAGTATAGGAAATAGTAGTGAAAGTGTATCATGTCACGAGAGAGAATTAGTTAACGGATATCGGGCATTGAATTATTCTAAAGTATAGGAAGTTAAAGAAATAATAAAATAGAAAAAATGAAACTCAATCAGTGAAAGATTCAATAAATCAAAAAGAACAAAACGTTAAACAAAAGAAAACCCAAACTAAAAAGAAAACAACAAAAACAAATCGCACAGTAGATCTTAAAAATAAGAAGAAATTTAAAAAAAATGTATTGTTGGTATTGTTTTAGATCTTACAAAGACTTTGAAGAATTAAAGAGACCATCTCTATTCTCAATTTTATCTGTTCTTTAAATATATTTTTCTAAATTCAAAAAGAAAATTTAGGCTAAAATCTATTGATTTCTAACATGTCTAAAATACTACTTTTCTTTCCATTATTTGTGCAATACCAATTTGAATGTCGCAATTTAAAAAAAAAATCCACATCGATAATGCACAACAGGGTTTTAAAGTATTTTTTTGGGGATGAAAAGAAAGGGGGAGGAATTAGGGGCTGCATGTTTTGTTAATGTAGTCCATGTATTAGAATACCAACACAATCTACAACAATGAAAAATCTTTCGTATTTCATATCATTATTTCGTTTGTGTCGTTACACTTGCATAATCTTGGATTATACTTTGTAAATAAAAATCAATCAAAGATACTAGGCTTATAATTTGTTTTTCTTCAGACGCGCGTTTCGTTTGCGTTAAACTCATCCATAGTGCTTGAATCAAATCAGTTTGCAGGCCAAATAATAAAATGAAGTAATAAAAAGGTCTGGTATAACTTTAAGCATTTGGAAATGCTTTCAGATAGATTTCATACATATAAAAAGAAAGAGAGGCGCAGATACCAAAGTGACATTCAAACTCATAAGTTGAGAATAAAATGGCAACGCCATGGCAAAAAAAAAGAAGTAAAAGACCCAAAGACAACAATAATACACAAAACACAACATAGAAAACCAAAGAATGAGCAACACGAACCCCACCAAAAACCTGTAAGAGGAAATGAATACACTAGCATGAATAGATTTTTAATAAACAAAGCTAATGAAATAGGAAAGATCATAAATCAATTGGCTTTGACTGGTTTTTCTATGAATGTAAACACACGACACAAACACTGGTTGCAGTGACCGCTTTTTTCGACAAATGATAAGTCTCAACAATTGCCTTCCATCCTTGCATGCCGTATCTCATTACTCTTTTTATTCTTATCACAGGATGAGAAAGTGATCCTAAGTGTTACTATACACAATGAATGATTCAAACAGTCAAAGTATAAGAGAAAGTTGTGATAGTTCATCATGTCACGAAAGAGAATTAGTTAACGGATATCGGGCATTGAGGGAATCTAAAGTTCGGTTAAGAAATATATCCTTTTTCTTTAAAGTTAATGAAATGATAAAATAAAAAAGCCCCAAAAAATGAATGAAAGGTTTAATAGTTAAGATTGATTGATTGATTGATTGTTGGTTGCTTAACTTCCAGTGGCAAATATTTCATGCATATTCAGGACGGGAACAAATTAACAATATTATAAATACAATAGGTAGGTTCTGTAATAAAGGCGTCCGGGATTAAGGTCGGAGAAATTTAGACCGCCACGGATAATGAGGGTATATTGGATTGGGACAGAAATCTAGCCTTGCAACAGGTCACCCACGGACCCCTCAAAGAGAGTTGTTGCAAGGTTTCTTAACGTGCGAAAAGCGTGGCACTCTCTTTACACGTCCCCATTCTGACCGGACGTGGCTGCAAATTTGTATATCCCGCACAGCCAAACGGACGCCCCACTTTGGCGAGGGTTTTACTGCCGGTCAAAGGAAGACCAATGGTGACCATACTCCTATTCTCCAGTCACCCTTGGGGGTTTAATTGTTAAGAAAGAACAAAATTAAATACAAAAGAAAGGCACAATATAAAATATAACAAAAAATCGCACAGTAGATCTTTAAAATAAAATGAAATATAAAACATTTATCATTTGTATTTTTTGTCGTTCTTACAAAGACCATGAAGCATTAAAGAGAACATTTGCTTGTAAAAACTGTATGCGTTCCATATATGTGTGATAATCTCGAAAATTTGGATGGGATCAAAATGAAAAGTGAGCAGAAAATACAGTGATGTCTTAATTATTACTACTTGTTTTCCTTTTCTTTGTACGATGCCAATTTGATTGTCATTGAATATACAACAGGGTTATTTGGTGATTTTTTTTTATTTAGGAGGGAGGAGTTTTGTTTTTGTTGTCCATGCATTAGGAGACAAATAAAATGTACAACAAGGGTAAATCTTCTGTATTTCATGTCACTATTTAATTTATATCGTTACACGTGCATGAGGTTGATAAAGCTGAGTTAAACAAACTAATCAAAGATACCAGGCTTAATATTTGTCACTCCAGACTCGATTTTCGTCTGCATAAGAGACTTCATTGGAGCTTAAGTCAAAAAAGTTTGAAGGCCAAATAAAATACAAAGTCGAAGGTCATTGACAACAAAGAATTCCGAAAAACTGTGCCGACTCAGCATGCAGTAAATAATGTGTTCTTCAGACGAAATCAATCCATGCATATATTTCAAACGGTAATGTGACATATGCACCACATTTTATTTTTGTTAAATGTGGCGTGTTCATAGTAAATAAAAGATGAGAACTTGTGATGTTAAGCATCGATATCAATGACGTTCAATGTTATTAGACATTGTATTCGGCTTATAAAAAGACTCGGGTAAAATAAAGCTTTTTGCTAGACATAAAATTCATTTAAGATAACGGTTTTTCTACATAATAGCCTTATCAGTTCTTAGCGAAAGTAAATGTTCATTAAAAGTATTGCATGGACTTAAGCTTGAGTCGATATGGTTTTAAATACATTAAAAGTCAAATGGTAAGAAAAAAATGAAGCGTACTTGACAAACGACAAGGTATATTAGATAAAACTCGGGTAATCAGTTGAATAAAAAAATATATCTTGAAAAAAATAAGAGATCGCGAAAAAAAAAATAGAAATTAATTATAAGAACTTGAAGCTGTAAAATCTATCATGATAAAATTAAATTCGTCTCAAACATTGCTTCTAATCAAACTAATGTTCTTCAGACTTTTAAGTATAAATAAATCCAAAAGTCGATAGCAAACTAACATAGGACACTACAAAATAACATATCATCGAATAAGTAGAAACAGAACAGTCAGATAACTTAGCAGAACTATTTAGAGCATCTGGGAGCAGTTCTCACAAGCTGATACGTCCCTCTCTACCTAGGTTCGTACAATACAATGGAAAACCCCAAATAATAAATTACACAGGATTTTGCGTTATACAATACAGATGCTTTAAATGTTATATTAAAGTTGCAGATGTAAAATGCCAACCCACATTTGTCATTATTGCAGATATGGTTTAGATCGTGTTATTTTATTGTGAAACACAAAGATCAAACAGATTAAAAAGTAAAACAGCACGGTTAGTTGTTTATTAGAAGTTGCGTTTACCACGGGTAATTGCAGACTGACAAGCAAACGGACGAATGAAGGAACAAATTGACACACTAGTCTTTCATTGCCATTATAATGAACACAGCAGAAATACGATCATCGAAAATCTGGAAGCTAAATGAATTTCAAATAAAAAAATGTTGCGAAGGTCACGTCATGTCTTCCTCATTAAATCATAAAGCTTAAATAGGTGATAGACATGTTCAACAAACAACAAAACCAAATATTAGCTGATAAAATTTTCCATTAAGTAAACTAACAAGATGAGAATAATTGATTCATCCTCGTATATTCAATGATCTACAAAAAATCATGTATACAGAGGGTTAACCTTTCAATTAATATTTCTTTTATAGTATATAGGCCCCATACACAAAGTAATGCATTCAGGTGTGTTACTTAGAGGGTTTCTACCTACGTCTCTTTCAAAAAGCTTTATTATCGTTACTTTCATGTTGAAAAAAAAACCCATTATTTTTCATTATTTCCTCTCTCGTAGGAGAAAAGTCATCTATCATTGTGTCACATGATCTTGAACACCCATCCAGTATTGTCAAAGTTACTTTGAAGAAACCAATAAAAAAGTGTGACTGGTGCCACGTAAGGAACAGGATCTGTGTTCCCTTCCGGAATTTGTTTGGTGGAAATCGTGTCTCCCAGTTTTTAGATTTGTATATATGTTGTGTTTTGTAGACTGTTTTGTCTTTTCTTTTTTTTCTTCCCGTTATTTTTGCCATGGTATTGTTGTTTTTTCTCCGACATATGGTTTTTGATTGGCCTTTATGTATCATTTGTTTCTCTTTGTCACAACATGCTCTTCTATTATGTCCTAACTGCTGGTCATTTTCAACTAAACATGCGATCATAAAACCGTCCACAGAAGTTCCAAACTCATTCTAGGTTGCCACTTTGCAATGAAAAAAGGTGAAGACTAGAGGGACGTTTAAGTTAAAGAGAAATACAAGTCCATGTCAGCATGTTTATAAAAAATCTGAACAAAACAAATTTGTAATTTTAGAGTATTAGTCACAGTTAAGGGAAAATGCAGCAACGTCCAATTTAGCAGTTTTCTGAAAAAAATAAGGCGATGTGGTATGATTGTCAATAAGACAACTATCCATCAAAGTTCAAATTTAGTGGATATAAGGAATCATAGGCAACAGTTCGTACTTCAACAATGAGGAAATTCCATACCATATAGTCGGCTATAGAAGGCCCCGACATGCAAAATATGAAACTATTCAATTGCGAAAACTAACAGCCTAATTTATAACAAAACAATTTACGAAAATCTTAATATGACAGACATGAACCATCGACAACCTTCTTATAATATTTGATCAAAATAAATCCTATTTTTCAATTTATTGGAAACAAAAGGAAGTACAAGATACAGCTTCGTGGTATTCATCAAATGAAAACTTGTGATCTTAACGAAAATCATGACTAGGTCAATAACAATATGTGATATTATTTATGTTTACACGCAATTTATCGAAACATGTCATTCTTAGTATTCCATTAAGAGAAGTACTTCGATTGTTTGCCTTGCATGTGTATTTAGTTTCACTTTATTTCCAAAAACTTAGCAACAGCATCATATTTCAGAAAGATGATAAATGTATGACAATCTTTAATGTGTTTTAATGTTAACACTTAGCATATCTCGAAGCAATTGTTGAAAATAATACATGAGTTTTTGTGAATCTAGATACATATTTAATAGTGTTTCATACCTTTGGGTACATTAGCGTCAACATATAAAGCGATAATACTAAAGATTTATAATATGTAAAACGCATGTTATGCTAGACATGGGAAACATAACCTAAACACAAATTGGTTTTGTTTATCAAGTTACCAAAATATTAAATGCAGACTGAGTTACAAAAATTTGTTTAAGGATGTTCGCTCCTCTTGTTTTTATTTTTTTGTCAGATATTCGGAATCCTCTGGTTTTATCCATGTTTTTCCATTAAGAAATTTTGTCCACTAACCCCTACTTTTCTTTTCATAATTTTATTACATATAGTTTAAAAAACCATCTTTAAAAATCTTATAAAATCCTTGTTATTTTTTCAATGTTTTTGAAAGAAAAAAGGTGCCAATGTTAAATGTATGAAAAGTCTAGAGAGAATCATTTCCCGCCAAATTTTCAATGGCTTATATCTCGAAAACAAGCACACGGACCCTTCATTTTTTTCTGCTTTTTTAGTTCCTTCATTTATATTCTATCAATTTATGACAGTCTTTTAAAAAGCTTGTTATTTTGAAACAGAGTAGCGAACATCCTTAATGTTAGTTTTTTTTCGTTATTTTCAATCAGATAATGTGTTTTTAGATTATAAAATGATTAAAAAAAAATTTGACGTTAAATATAACTTCCAGGGAAGTTCTTAAATTGAACTATTTGTTTCCTTGTTTTTTTCTTCAGCAAATGAAAGGTAAAATTTTAAATCTCTGTCAGTAATATACACTTATTGTAAAAATGTGTGTAGTTCGACCAATCAAATTAAGAGGGGCTGATTTCGACTACAGTAACCGGAGGGCAAAATAATATATCCTCATGAAATAGGGACTGTCAAGCTAATTGCAGAAAGACAATATATGAAATGAATTTCAGTGAACAGTTACCTATTAAAGTGTGGAACTCCTTTCTTAATTTTTCATCCGAATTTTTTTTAAATTTTCCCGGAAAACTACTGACTTTGCTATATCTGATATAAAAGAACGGGGGTGTGAATTTGTGAGCAGTTCTTAAACCAAAACTGTGTGTTTCACTTTTGGAGACTGGTTTTGTTGTGTTGTTTTCTTTCCTTCTTTTTGGAATATGAAATATAGGGGCATAAAAAGATAACAGGTTACAAATAAAACAATTATCTGCTAAAAAGTCCAGATAAAGGGGTGATATAGATCCAGACCTGAACTAAAAAAAAATTGTCATTTCGTTTTCAGATACATGTAACTAAATTAATTGATATTCAAATTTGTTCTACCATGCATTTTTTAAAACATGAATACTTTGTTTGGAATGAACTGTTTTACCATAACAAGATTCCTCACAAATAATTCTTGCAATACTGTCCAGTGTACTCTACGTAAAGATGATCTTTTTCTATATAAAATCCAATCAATTTTTCATTAGGAAAAATCCTTACTGTAAGAAGAAATATATCAATGAAATAAACCTGTGAATTACCATCCAAAATAGCGTTTCCATGGCAAAATCATCGTAATCTCCAATTGTTGATAAGACACTAAAGATAAGGCAGATTAGCACCATCATGAATCTGAAAGAGAAAAAAGAATGAGGTCAATTTCTGATTTAATAAAAAAAAACATCACACAATGTTGTCCTTCATCAATTATATATTGAAATGAAAACCTTTTGTATATTTTTGATAGTTTTAAATTTGTATACAGTGTGTTTTCAGGAGCTCAATCTTAAGCTCCCTATATCATTGTAATTTGATTTTACACTTCAATATACGAGAGGCAAAAGATACTAAAGGGATATTCAAACTCATAAGTCGAAAACAAACTGACAATGCCATGGCAAAAAACGAAACATCTGTTGGTTATGGAGAGGTTTTCTCTCAGTTTTTTCTCTAATTTTTGTTTTTGTTCATCCAAGTATTTTCATACTTTTATTACATTATAACAGTGACTGTAGTTTGAAGTATATACTGATGGTCTACCAGCAGAATTATCGACCCAGTGCTGTAAAAAATGAAATCAACACGTTATATAGGTGTAATACCACCAAATCATAGTACGTCACATCCGGTTACGAAAATAGGTCGAAAAAAAATATTCCCTTGAATTTGACAGTTGTAGGTAATTGATCCTACATTTCACTGCAGTAAAATATTTCTGGATCATAAACATATATCTTCAAAGCACCATTATTTTTTTATTTGGGGTTTCTATAGAATACTTTGGAAACGTGAGGTTACATGGTTACTAAAGCTTGTACACAGGTTAAAAAAGGGGAGAATTTGATTGGTTAACTTCCAGTGATAATTATTTTCTAATATGCAATGAAATGTTATGTGAATTTTTTTTCTATAGTACTGGACAGGATAAAACTTTACTCATGCCAAGTATTTCTTTATTTGAAACAAAGATAAATTCTGCACAATGTTTTGAAAAGTGCAAATTTAACAAAGACTAATAGGGGAAAATCAATGGTGGTATTACACCTACAGTTATTGCGTCCGAAGCGCTTTTCAGGATTTACTTTCACCAGAATCGCTCAAAGCGGAATATTATTTAGGATCTTATTGTTCTTTTATGTCAATTTATCAACATTGCATTAATAAAGATAAATATCAACAGTAATTGCAAGTTTAGCTAATATGTTAACATATTATAACGTTCACAAATGTCTAACACTTTTACAGTTGTAAATTGTTTTTAACTTGGCTCGAGTTGTCGTACAATAAAATGACCTTTGAAAATATAAGGCTGAACTATTTCAATTAGAAGAAGATAGCCCCCCCCCCTCCCCATTTTGATCCTTTTTTTTCAAATACAGATATTTTTACATAAATTTGAAATTTGTTTTATTAAAAAATTACAAATCTATTAAGCAAAGAATACGAATGAATTTGATTTGAAACATTAACAAAAAAATTTACTTTTTGATCATTAGTAGCCCTCGTTGTCAAATGATACTCATGCTCGCCTTTATCAAAATATGACGGAATCGCACATAAAACTCTATACGAAATCGATCGTTTTAATCAACCATCAGCAGGCGGGATAGTATGAAATTAAATGTTGCAAAGCAATTTTGCATTATCCAGCAAATGCATTTCATATCGGTCTAAATTGATTGCAGCCAAAATTAATGGAATCATATGAAAACATTTTTACATTCAAGTTGAAAGCTTTAAATCTATTTTATACCCATGATTGAATTAATTTTACAAAAATTTCAAAATAATTTAATCTAAACGCGGGAAAATATCATAAATTCGAATGCAAGGAGAAAAAAAGGTGAAAGCTATCGTCATTATAATAGCGAATAAAAGGTTGTAGATTATTTATGTGAATTGTCCTTCAATTGTTCTGGTAAAAATTGTTTGAAAAAAATAATTTAGAAGTTCTGAATTTTAACCAGAGGGCAAACAAAATATCACCAGATTCCTAAATTCAAAGACTCCTAACTCTTTAATAAAATAACTGATAAAAATTTCTTGTGAATATGCACATCAAAATATTATGTCCTCATTAACTACAAAGTTTCATGAAATTCTATTGTGTGGTTTCAGAGGAGTTGCGATGACAAACTGTTGCAGAGGTATATTTAGGCCAAACTCGGAGTTCAAAGGGGGATAACTCCTAGAAAAAAATTGAATCATAATTTCCTGTCGATATACACATCTACATAGTATGTCCTTATTATCTACAAAGTTTCATGAAATTCTGTTGTGTGGTTTCAGAGAAGCTGAGATGGCAAGAACAGGACTTACGGACTGACGGGTCAAAAACATTATATTCTACGCAACGTCGTTGCATGGGGTGTAATTATTATTTAATAATAGATGAATTTCTTTTATTCGAGAAATCAACCTGACTTCGAGGTGTGTTGCGAAAAACACAAAATTTAAATGCTACGTAAACAGTTACTTCAGTATAACCGGTCACTCGTAATTATAGCAGGATATCATTCACGAATATCGTAAACGTTAAACATTTGTATAGTACTGTTAAATAATATGTAAGATTTTAGGATCAATGGGCGTAATCAATAGTAGTCAACAGTATATATAAAGAAGGGCATAGTCAACATGATTAGTCGATAAAAACTTATGAATTAAAGGACAGGTGTAATATACGTCAAAGAGACAGCAATTTAACGGCAACAACTCAGCCAAAAGACATCTAGAGGGCAGCATAAAGTTCCAACAATAGACGGGTGCCTATGCAATATGCAAGGCACTAAATCTTCTATAGTCTGTACAAGAACATGACTTGGGACAGGGACATAAATATTTGGCAGGGTTATTTTTCACTTCTAAATTCTCCCCCTTCTTATCTAGATCACTGAACTCACAAAAATACACAAAAGAACATAATTACAATATATCAATTCAGTCTATTACCTAATAATTTAATTTTGGATGTAACACGTCTTCTGATTGGCTGAAAGTGTTTTGTCTATCAGCTCATAGACATAATTTTGTCATGTGACCGCGACGTCATCAACGTTTTTATCATGATTTAATCCTTTTTAAAATTAAAATATAAGAAATGACTTTAATAGTTTTCAGTCTATTCGAAATAACATAAAAAATGTGGTGCACACTTTTAAATAACCCACTACGCGGGTTATACAGTATGCACCATATTTTTTATGTTATTTCTTCATAGACAGAAAAAATATTACAGTCAATCATTAACTGTAAGTGATCGAGGCGATAAAAAGTCATTAAAAAAAGCAAAAAACAGCAAAAAAACAACACAAATAAAATGCTCCGCTACGCGTAAGCTTGATACGGCCGTAGAGGTCGAACCCTGAACAGTTGGATACAACATTTAAGCTTAAAACAGCTCTGAATTTGGATTGTGATTGAATATTTGACACAGCATATGTTTGTGACACAGCATAGGTTTGTGACACAGCATGGGTTTGTGACACAAAATGAATGTGGTCAAAGAACTGAAAAATTTGAAATTGGACATTTGCCTATTATGGTCCAATATCCAAAATCTAAGTACATGGTTAGAATCAGCATATCAAAGAACCCCAAGAATTCAATTTTGATGAAATAAAACAAAAGTTTAATTTAGCACCTTTTGGACCTCAATGTGGACCAATTTGATAAAGGAGCCTAAAATCAAAAATCTAAGATCATGGATAGATTCAGCATTTCAAAGAACCCCATAAATTCAATTTTTGTTGAAATTAAACAAAGTTTAATTTTGGACCCTGATTTGGACCAACTTGAAAACTGGGCCCAAAAATCCAAAAATTAAATACACTCAGGTTTATCAACCATAAGAAAATATTCAAACATGTTAACAATCTTTAAATAGAACACAATACATACACAATTATCACCACAATTGATATATCTGAATCAGCAAATCTATTTTAAACTATGACTCAATTTACAATTTCTATTAGTTTACAATAAATCTATAAATATGGAGCTTGATTAACTATTTAATATCCTAACCCTCCTGTTGTGTTATGGAACCTTGTGCTAAAATTTCTTACACATCCATACTCTTATACTAAAGTTATTGTCTGTGAACCAATTTATTTTCCATGAACCAATGATGTAAACCACAAAAATAGTTCTCTAAAATGAGTTATGATAAATTGTGCAATAACATCTCTGAATTTAGATTCTGAGCAAATATGTAATAATAGCATAGTTTCTGACACAGAATGAATGTGGTATGAGTTCTTAAATAATTTTAAAATTGGACATTTACCAATTATGGTCCAATATTCAAATTCTCAATACATGGTTGGATTCAGTATATCAAATAACCACATTGTTTCATTTTTTGTTAAAATCAAACTAAGTTTTATTTTGGATACTTTGAACCTTTATGGGGTACCAGTTTGAAAAACGGGCCAAAATCAAAAATTTCAGAATGCACACATTAAAGAACACCAATGATAATACACAAATTAGTGTCCTGAAACATGAAAATGCTTGTTTTTGACCCCTTTTTGACCCTTAATTACTAAACAGCTAAACAATGACCCCCAAAATACATCCCAACCTTCCTACGGAACCGTGTGCTTAAATTTAATAGAGATCTATACAATTATACTAAGTTATTGTCTGTGAACCAGACAAATAGTGGTAATTGTTTTTGTAAGTCCCTTCTTGGCCCCTAATTCCTAAACAATTACTATAATAACCCCCAAAATAAACCCCAACTCTCTTATTGTGGTATGGAACCTTGTACTAAAATTGAATAGAGATCCATCACTTATACTCAAGTTATTGCCTGCAAACTAGAAAAATAGTTGTTTTCGGGCCCTTTTCGACCCCTAATTATTAAACGGTATGGGCTATGACCCTCCAAGAATCAATCAAAACTTTCCTTTTGGAGTATGGAACCTTGTAGTAAAATTTCATAGAAATCTATGCTCTTCTACACTCATTATTTTCCTGAAACATGAAAAATGCTTGTTTTTGGCCCCTTTTTGTCCCCTAATTACCAAACAGCTACGACAATAACCCCGAAAATATATCCCAACCTTCCTATTGTTGTATAGAACCTTGTGCTAAAATTTAATAGAGATCTATATGCTTATACT